ATATATATATATATAAAGGCATTTTAAACCTTTCCCACACTCTTGCAATATTCTAAAGAATGTTTCTAAACGCTCTAAAAAAGCACAGCATGTCATGATCTCAGCTCTCTGCCTCCTCTGCTCTTTGCCACCTGCAAGTTCTCTTGGCCACGCCCACTTCTCTGCATGCTTATCAGCTGCAGGAGGAGGTTTTTTTCTGCAGCTCTGGGCTGCACAAATGTGCAGCAGGTGCTAAATAATTCAAAATAATTTATTTTCAATAAAAATTTCATGCCGATCGCACGGCTCATCCATCAATCAGCCATTTGTGTGTCATGTCCAATCTTACTTTGAAAAACCGTGATAGAGCAAGTTTGCGATAAACGAACCGTGAATTAGTGAGGGACTACTGTATACTGATAGTTTCTTCAGAAATTTACCAGTTTGAGCTGTTCGTGTATTTTAAGTGAAAAGCAACTTTAGATTGAGCAGGATGTGATACTAACTGTGTGTGCGGGGCGGGGTTCGCAGCGGTGTTGGACCCTGACGGCGCTCCGGAGCTTCACAGGCGAAGCAGCTCGGTGCGTGTGACGGGGTCGTCGTACCGCAGCATCATCCGAGAGAGGAGCTCCGACGACTGCATCATTGGGACTCATTTGGGAATGGGTATGCCACTGAAACAACTTTATATCACGTCAAATCACAAGAAGAGTCCTCTATAGAATACAAAAAAAAAAAACAATCACAAGTCCATCTGAGTGAGTACATGAATAAAATAGTGCTAATCAATCACTTTTATCACTTATATATAGCTTAAAGAAGGGCTTCAGGTTGTTTTTAAGTTGTACAGCTTATAATGATGAAAATATCCTCCCCGTGACTTCTAAGTATTGCATCATGTTGAGGGAAATAGACAGGCAGTGGGTGAGAAACATTTATTTTACTGACTGAGCAGAGCATCTAACCTCCACCTTCTGCAGCTGAGCTGCTCTGAGATCTGTAATAAAGCTGTATTTACTGGTCAGCTCCCAGGTGAGGACATGTTTGATAGTATAAAAACAGATAAAAAAGTTAATTCTCTGTCTGCATCATGCATACAGCTTCACACATGAACTCCATATACAGTACTCCAGAGCTGCCTCTGCTTTTCATGAACTCTCAGTCTGTAAGCATGAGGCCGTTTCAAGCTTCAGGTACGACGTTCATGGTTCACCCAGGTTTCATTGCTAAATCCTATTCAAGGAACCAAGCTTTTTGCTCTTTTTTTTCTTGTTGCTCCTCCATGCTGTTTCTGCTTCATCATCTCTCCTCCTGAATTCGAGGAGGTGAATGGATGGAGGAGGCTTATGTCCATTTGTCTTTCTTCGTGCTGTGTTGTGCTTTTTAGGAATTCATATCGATGAATCTGGGAGCCCGGAGGAGAGGCAGTCAGGAGATGGCACCTCCTTCCCCGAGTCCCCTGACCTCAGTCATGTAGGTATCACCGCAGCTCCTCACGTTATTTGAAGGTCTGCTCAGCAGTTGTCATCAAACCTGACTTTGAAGCTTTCAAAAGCAGCACACCTTCAAAGAGAATGCATTTGCTGTAAATCATGTGCTAACCCGCTGGTCATGCCTTCGCCCGTAGATGACAGGTGTATACACGGAGCTGGAGAACTTGTACGCAGGGAAGAGTGTGTCCCCGCTGCAGGGTGGCTCCCCCGCAGAGCCTGAGGTGGCGGGGCAGACTGAGGCCTATGGCCGCTCTCTCTCCCCACTCACACTGCCCCCCCTCACAGGTACTCTGCGGCCGACACACACACACACACATATTTGACATCACATGCTTTCATCAGTGGTTTGAAGCCACTGGTCATCAAGGTCCAACGTTTGTGTCGTGTATTTTTTTAACTGGGGATAAAAAAGTGACAAAGAGCAAAAATTGGACCTTGATGTCCGGTGACTGATGCCGTGTTCACATTGTTGACATGATGGACATAAAACCAACAGAGCCTCCTTAGAATAAACTGTAACTGTTTGTTGTGAACATGGCACAAGGACTGCTGACTTTTGAATGTGTTTGAGCTAAAAACCCATTCAGTCCCTGCACTCTGTGCATCCCTGCATTTGTTCTCTTTGTTGCCAAGGTTACCTCACAGAAAATCCGATCCCTACGAGGACATTAGAGAAAATAAATATGATCTTTTTATAGTACAATCAGAAATGCTACGCCGTTACGAAGCTACGACGTCCCGTTTTTCTAGGTAACCGTAAATCCGGCCTGTCCCTGTCCTGGAAGGAGCCTCTCCCCACCCCCGTGTACGAGATCCACCACCAGAGCAGCGTGGAATCCAACCCGTACGTCAGCCTGGAGAGCCCCCCCGCCTCCCCTCAGCCCTTGGACAGTAATCCCAATACTCTGACGCGCCGAAAGAAGCTCTTCACCTTTTCCCGCCCGCCTCGCAGCCGCGACACAGACAAGTTCCTGGATGCCCTGAGTGAGCAGCTGGGCCACCGGGTCACTCTGGTGGATGACTTCACAGCTGGGGAGAATGACTATGAGGAGGTATGCAAGAAACATAGAGCTCAAACTTTGCTTTGATACAGGATATCGTGACTTTGGGTTTTAATTATTCTTTGCATCAATATACACTCACATCAGCAAAACTATTGCACTGTGCTGGTTGTTTGCAATTAGAGCAGCTCTGATGTTTGCTACAAACACTTGTGTCACATGAACAGATATATCAAGGTGGTTGTCATGGTTTCAGAAGAGGAGGTGTCCGTGTAAGTAAAAGCTCGATATGCAGTTATACAGTGGAGTCTAATAATATCTGCCTGCTTCTGGATGGAAATGTAATTAGTAAGTAATCCTATGGCTTTTTTAATTTTTTTTACAAAGTATTTGGAATTAATTTTTTTTGTCAAAAATCTGATGAGCTTAAAATTCCACAAGTTACTAGAATCTTCCATTCTTTGTGCTTCATGACCAGATGGGAGTATGGCAGATATTAAAATGCATGTTTTAAATTAATGCCAGTCATCCAGCTTTTGTTTCATGGCTTTGATGTCCCTGAAGTAATGAAGAAAGTGAGTCAATGCGTACGTTTAAATGAGTTTATACTTCATATCCCATTTGCTGATCTTGCAGTCAAAATTTTACATTTACAATTTTCTGATTGAACGATATCTGACTGCTCTTTTTTGCAGAATATGTAGAGTTCATTTAAATGGGTTGGTTTCCTGGCATGGTCCAGCCATCAGGGAGCACAAGCCAGTGTATCTTTTGTGCCGGACCCAAGCCCGGGTAAACGATGAAGATTGTGTCAGGAAGGGCATCCGACGTAAAACACTTTTGCCAAAACTATCATACGAGTTCATCAAAGCAACACCACACCAGATTGGTCGAGGCCCGGGTTAACAACGACCCCCACCGGTGTTGTTGACGAACTGGGTCTTGGCGGAAATTGTGCTACTGTTAGTTGAAGACCACGGGGAGGGAAATGTGTCAGGAGACAGGGGGAGAAGAGGAAAGTCAAGAATGTAGGACTGAGGGTTGCAACTCTAAATGTGGGGACAATGACAGGCAAAGGAAGTGAGCTGCCTGGCATGATGCAGAGAAGGAACGTAGATGTTTTATGTGTCCAAGAGACCCAGTGGAAGGGCAGAAAGGCTTTAAGCACTGGAGCAGGGTTCAAACTGTTTTACCGTGGTGTGGATAGAAAGAGAAATGGAGTAGGGGTGGTCCTGAATGAGGAGTTGGCAAATGATGTAGTAGAGGTGAAAAGAGTGTCAGATAGGGTGATGTGCCTGAAGATAGAAGTAAAAGGTTTGATGCTAAACATCATCAGTGGTTATGCTCCACAGGTTGGATGTGATGTGGAGGAGAAAGATACATTTTTAAAGGATCTGGATGAAGTGATAGAGAGTATTCTCAGGGAGGAGAGAGTGGTGATCGGAGCAGATCTGAATGGACATGTTGGTGAAAGAAACAGAGGGGATGAGGAAGTGATGGGTAGGTTTGGTGTCAAGGAAAGAAACCAGGAAGGACAGATGGTGGTGGATTTTGCCAAGAGAATGGAAATGGCTGTAGTCAATACATATTTCCAAAAGAAGGAGGAACAGAGTGACCTATAAGAGAGGAGGAAGGAGTACGCAGGTCGACTACATTCTGTGTATAAGAGGAAACCTGAGGGAGATTGGGGACTGTAAAGTTGTGGCAGGGGAGGGTGTGGCCAGACAGCATTGGATGGTTGTGTGTAGAATGACTGTTGTTGTGAAGAAGAGAAAAAGAGTAAAATCAAAGAAGAAGACCAAATGGTGGAAGATGAAGAAGGAAGAATGTTGTGAGAAGTTCAAAGAGGAGCTGTTAAAGGCTCTGAGAGGTAAGAAAGAGCTTCCAAATGACTGGACTACTACAGCAACAGTTATTAGAGAGACAGGTAGGAAGATACTTGGTGTGTCATCTGGACAGAGAATGGGTGGTCTCTCTTGTAAATGAGTCCTTGTGACTCATTGAGACTAACCTGTATAAATAAAGGTTGAATGAATGATAAGAAAACCTGGTGGTGGAATAGTGAAGTGCAGGAAGCTATTCAAAGAAAGAGGTTAGCCAAGAAGAAATATGACAGTGAGAGGACTGAAGAGAGGAGACAGGAATTTAAGGAGACGTAATGTAGAGCAAAGAGGGAGGTAGCAAAGGCAAAGCAGAAGGTGTATGATGAGTTGTATGGGAGGCTGGACACTAAAGAGGGTGAGAAGTAATTGCACTGAATGGCAAGATAAAGGGATCAGGCTGGCACCCATTTTAAAGAACTGATTGATGTACAGAGTTGTAGCAACTACAGGGGAATTAAGATGTTGAGCCACATGATGAAGATCTGGGAGAGAGTTGTGGAAGCTAGACTTAGACGAGAGGTGACTGTGAGCAGCAGTATGGTTTCATGCCAAGAAGGAGCACCACAGATGCCATCTTTGCTTTGAGAATGTTGATGAAGAAGTACAGAGAAGGTCAGAAAGAATGCCATTGTGTCTTTGTGGATTTAGAAAAAGCATGACAGGGTGCCAAGAGAGGACGTGTGGTATTGCATGAGGAAAACTGGAGTGGCAGAGAAGAATATTAGACTGGTACAGGACATGTATGAGGACAGCAGGACAATGGTGAGATGTGCTGTAGGAGTGACAGATAGCTTCAAGGTGGAGGTGGGAGTGCATCAAGGATCGGCTCTGAGCCCCTTCTTGTTTGCTTTGGTGATGGACCAACTAACAGATGAGGTCAGCCAAGAATCCCCATGGATGATGATGTTTGCAGATGACATTGTGATCTGTGGTGAGAACAGGGAACAGGTGGAGGAGAACTTGGAGACATGGATATGCACTTGAAAGAAGAGGAATGAAAGTCAGCCGTAGTAAGACAGAGTGCATGTGTGTAAATGAGAGGGAGGAGGTGGAACAGTGAGGCTACAAGGAGCAGAGGTCACAAAGGTGCAGGACTTCAAGTACTTGGGGTCCAGGAAAATGGGGAATGTGATAAAGAGGTGAAAAAGAGAGTCCAGGCAGGATGGAATGGATGGAGAAAATTTTCAGGAGTGATTTGTGACAAAAGAGTGTCAGCAAAGGTCAAAGGAAAAGTTTACAAACAGTGGTGAGCTATATTGTATGGTCTGGAGACAGTGGCACTGACAAAAGGACAGGAGAAAGAACTGGAAGTGACAAAAATTAAGATGTTGAGGTTCTCCTTAGGAATGACAAGGATGAAGATTAGGAATGAGATCATCAGAGGTACAGCACAGGTTGAACAACTGGGAGATAAAGTTAGAGAGACCAGGCTGAGATGGTTTGGACATATCAAGAGGAGGGACTGTGGGTATATTGGCAGAAGGATGTTAGAAATGCAGCTGCCAGGAAAAAGACAAAGAGGAGATATATGGATGCAGTTAGAGAGGACATGGAGGTAGTTGGAGTGAGGACAGAGGATGCAGAGGACAGAGTGAGATGGAGGAGAATGACTTGACATGACCCTGAAGAGGGAAAAGCTGAAAGAAGAAGAAGAAAGTTACCTGGTCATGACATTTGCTAGAATATTATTTGAAATAGTTACTCAGGAGTCCAGGTTTTAAGTTTTGACACAAAATGCATTAAAATTGCCTGCGAGGAGAGAGAGAGATTTCACTTACATCCCAAATAAATAGCGTCCCAAAAACCAACACATGTTGTCCTTACAATTACATGGGCAAAACTGCTACAATCAGCACAAAGACACAAACATTTATGGATTCCAAAGCACCAAAGGAGACTTTCCTACCCCCCTCTGCAGCCACCATCCCCACATTTCATGTTGTTGGCAGTTATAGTTTTGGTTTGTCTGGCTGTAATATTAGTTGAAATGCCAGGAAAGTAACAGGCATGATAATGTGACTTAATGTTGTTTTTCTTGCTCACTCCTGTAGATTTATAAATTTGAACATAGTAGAAAAACACTCCAACAAAAGGAAAAAGGATAAACTTTTTTTTTTCATCAATGCTTAAGCAGAGTCCACAAATTGTGTTTTATTTGGGTTGAGGTCAGAGCTTTGAGACAGCCCTTCCAAAAGCTTAATACTTAGCCTGCAGTCAGAAACCAGTTCTGATGGGTTTTGGATCATTATCCAGTTGAAACACCCTATGGTGGCCAAGTTTCAACCATCTAACTGTTGATTTGCTGTATAGGCTTCTTTATTATTCCATCAACTTAGTGCAATGTACCAGCATGATGCCACCACCACCATGTTTGATAGTTGGTCGTGTTCTTAGTCCTAAACATTAACACTCCCCACCCTGCAATTATCACTCCACCCGGAAATAAAACGATCCAAAGAAATGATGAAAACCTCCAAATTCCTGCCCAGGACTTGTATGTAAACTTCTGACTGCAACTGTAGCAGGCAGCAGAGAACGTTTGTTTCCAGCAGTACAAGCAACAGGAGAGCTTAAATGTGCTTAAAGATGGAGGACGGCTGCAGGTCAAAGGTCGTCAGTGTTGGGATGTTGGGGTCTAACAGAAACTCTCCTCTCTCCAGATGAGCTTCCCAGAGGAGCAGGACACGGGCTTCATGCCCCGGCAGCTCAGCAGCGGCAGCAGTGAGGATCACAGCAGCGACGAGGCCTCCTCTCCCACCTACTCCTCCGGTTCTGAACAGATCCCACCTCCTCCGGACCAGAGCCCCCCGCCTCCCCCGCCACTACAGTCTCTGATTCCCCCGCCGGTCCAGTTCACTGACCCTCTCCCGCCTGTGCGCTTCTCTCCGGAGCACGTCCCCCGCAGCCGGATGCCCTTCCAGCCACACCACCCCATCATCCCCCCTCCGCCACCCCCTCCGAGGACCCTCCTGTCCACTCGCTCTCCTCTTCACAAAGTGCTCCCCACCAGAGCCGGCACGGAGATGTCCAGCCAGCGCTTCAAGGCCACCACTGCCTGGCTCTCGCGCAACCACGGCCCCCTGGGCTCCTCCACCCCACGGTCCTCCCAGTCGTCCCGCACCCCCTACCTCCCCCGCCAGCTCAGCCAGCCCCAGCCAACCCTCCAGCCAGCTCCCCAGCCCTCCCCTCAGCCGCTCAGGCCGAGCCAGCTCGTCCTTCAGAGGCACCACCAGCTCCACCACCAGCACAGCTACCAGGGCCCGTTGCCGCCGTCCCTGGAGGACCCCATCCCGACTCAGCATCAGAGCCTGGGGCCCGTGGGCTCCTCACTGCTCTCAAAGCCTCCGGCCTCAACCTGCACCCTCCCTGGCCACAACAAAAGCTTTGAAACCCCCCCACAGGAGCATCAGTCACAGCAGGTAACAATTCTCATCACCTGCAACCAAAGGTGTCTGTTAGCAAAATATCTCTTGAACCACTGAAACACTATGATAAAGAGCTAAACTTTGATGTTGCAATAGCCAAAGGTCGATACCAAAAGATACTCCAAGCGCTAACAGATCGCACAAGATATCAGAGTTATAGTTGTCTGTTAGCAAAATATCTCATGAACTACTTTAACTTTCAGAGTTGATCAAGAACTGTAGGAGAGTTTCTGCGAGGCTTTCTGCTGCAGCATCACCACAAACAGCTCCTAGCAACAGAGGTGTCACATGAACACAACCAGAGCTGCATTGTGCCGCAGTGCGTGCACTGAAATGAAAAACCAATCAGCTCTGATCAGATCGAGACCGTTCTGCTCCGCTAGCGCAACTGGAAACTATCTGAACACCCAATTTGGGTTTTTTAATAAATCATTTCGCTCCAAACTCTGAACTGTTGTACCATTAAAAAAAAACATGATTTCTTACGTCTTTGCTCTCCAAGGCTCTGCCACCTCCACCTCCACCCCCGCCTCCACCCTGTGACCCACCTCCACTGCCCAAGCCGGGCCAGCACGCCGCAGACGCCAACCACATGAGCGTGAAGAGGCTGCGCTGGGAGCAGGTGGAGAACTCTGAGGGAACGATCTGGGGTCAGGTGAGCGCCGACCTCCTGTTCTCCGCGGTGTTCCTCTGCAGGACGGTGTATTTAGATAAACACTCAACTGGGTCAGAGGAACGAACTGTCAGCAGGTTTTCTCACTCCCACGTCTCTTTGTCCAGCGTTCGTAAAAAAAGCTCTGATGAGACAAACATGAAATGAACAGTCAGATTGAATCTGCTCATTTATTAAAATGTTTACTTTTAATGTTTACAAGTCCATCAGACGTGGATCCAGCCTGATAATGTGACACAACCTGACTCTACCATCCAGAGAGTTATAAAAAAAACGTTTCCATTTCTGGTTTTAGCTCGGAGAGGACTCTGAGTACGACAAGCTCAGTGACATGGTGAAGTACTTGGACCTGGACCTGCACTTTGGGACTCAGCGCAGATCCAGTAAGCTGTTTGCTAACTTTAAGGAGCCGTTGTCATGTTTCACCATGTCTTGTAGTTTCTCATGTCTGCTTGTTGACTTCACCTGTTTGTTTGTACCTTCACAGTTGTGATGTTGTCCATGTTGGAGCTGCTTCATTTTCCTGCACCACAAACTCACTCTCCATAAGGCACCACTATCTCCTCGTTATCTAAACTTTCAGATTCAGTAGATTGAGTCTCTAACGGCTGATCAGTCCATCGCTTCATATTCTAGTCACTTCAGTTTAGATCCCTCCGGTGCCTGGAGAACAAGTCCTCACACACCTTTTCTTAAAATATTCAGTTTCTCCTCCAGAGCCAGCCTTCCAGCCGGAGAACTTTAAAAAGAAAGACGTGGTGGAGATTCTGTCCCATAAGAAAGCCTACAATGCTTGTAAGTAACACATGACGTCACTAAAACCGTCCTGAAGACCAGGGCTACGTGTTCCCTTTGTTCTGAGGCTGCAACAGTTTATGGCAGTCGTCAACACCAGAATGGTTTCTGCAATTTATCCCATCAGTTTTTATTTGTTTGTGTGTGTGTTTGCTTTTGGGGATGAAATAATGTCCTGGCACTAACATCTGATTGCATTCAGAAGGCATCAAATACAGGTGTGAATGCAAAATGAAATGGTCTAGACCAGGTGTCTGCAACCTGCGGCTCTGGGGCCACATGTGGCTCTTTGGTTCCTCTGCAGCGGCTCTTTCAGGCTTTGACCGAAACTAAAATAAAACTGAATTTTATTGAAATTATTGCCAACAATGAAAACGGCTAGTTTTAGCAGATTTCCTGTAATTTTCAAATATGTGAAGAATATTAAAAATACACGGCGTAAAACGTGTGGACTGCATCGTGCTAGTAGTTTGTTAACCACTTTTAAGTTAACGTCCAGTCTCTTTATCTCAAAACCACCAGAATGTTCTGGAATATCTTTAAGACAAGTTGCTGAGAAGGAATATTTGATGACTCGAAGAATAAAACACACAAAAAAACAAAGTCTTATTTTTCTTTGAAAATGTAACTGGATATTCAACAAACTGGCCTCATTTTATACTGTCTTTAATTTATGCTTTAAGCAGGAAACTTAATTCTTCAACATTTAAGAGAAATCACATAAACCTGCAGAGTTCAGTGTTTTATTTTTTTATAAAATTCTTAAAAATTATATATTTTATCTTTCTTTGCATGAACCTGGTCTTTTCTTTTGGATTAAAATGCAAAAATATAAATAAATGTTAATAATAGTTAAGACATTTTTCATTTTATAATATCACCCCCACTGGATGGAACAGTCATCTCCATCAAAGCTGTAATGGTCCACGGGCCACCAGTTGACAGTGCACAGCTGTAGCAGGTTTTCCAGACTCATCGTAATTAGTAAAGTGACAGAAATGGCTCTTTTTATCACAAAGGTTGCAGACCCCTGGTCTAGACCACCTCTAAGGGTGGCCTAGACCCTTTGTCCAATACTTTTGGTTTCCTGAGTGTAATCCGTCCTGAGACCTACTGCAGGACCACGTACTGAGCAGATGTGACGCCACAGAAGCGTCAGAGTTGTTACTTTAGATGTCTCAGGGTCAGAAGAAAGTTTGCTCATCAGCTGGCGCATTAGAGATTGTCATCCTTGGGATTATTCTCAAGATGCAGCCTGTTTCCATTTGTTTTTCTGCTAAGTTCAGAGTGTTGATCAGAATCCCTCTCGTTGTAAATTCCAGATGTTCTGTGGCGAGTTTCTCTTTAGTCTAACGTCTGCTCAAGTTGGTTTTGGACCCACTGCGGTCACAGCTACCTGATGATCATGTTATGGTGCACGTTTGCTGCTGTTGCTCACTCGCAGAAAAGCCCATCAAAAGTTTTAAATTTGTAGATTATTGTGTATTTTAACAACCATTTACTGGAACAAAGTGGAGCATTAATAACATTTTCACCTGAATATGTCCTTTCCTGTGAATGATGAATGGCTCTGAAGATGTTCTGCTAACACAGTTAATGAAAGACTAAATCAAGTTTGTAATCCCAGTTTTATTTACATGCACTGCTTTTATTGAAAGAGTTCAAATAACATCAGCGGACGCCACAGGAATGTTCAGAAGTGTAAATACGAGCCAAAAATAATTTGTTGGCAGAGCGGGAACACGGCGTTCTTCTTTAAGTTTAAAAATTGAGCTAAAACCCTCCTCTTCCTCGTCCACTCACTCGTCCTCCTCTTCCTCGTCCTCCCTGCAGCCATCCTCATCGCCCACCTGAAGCTCTCCCCGGCCGAGCTGCGGCAGGTCCTGATGACCCTGAGCACCGACAGGCTGGAGCCGGCGCACATCAAGCAGCTGCTGCTCTACGCCCCTGACGAGGAGGAGGTGAAACAGTACCAGCACTTCGATCAGGACCCCACCAAACTGAGCGAGCCCGACCAGTTCATCTTCCAGGTATTCAGAACGAGAGGAGGAAGAAAAACATTTAAACTGACCAACGTTGTAAAAACGGTTTCTTGTGTTTCAGATGCTGACGGTGCCCGAGTATAAGACCCGCCTGCGGAGCCTCCTCTTTAAGACGACGCTGCAGGAGAGGACGGAGGAGATGAAGGTGGCGTTCGATTATATCTACAAGGCGTCGGTGGAGCTGAGGAGCGGCAAGAAGCTGGCCAAGATCCTGGAGGTGAGCCGTGACTGCAGAACGTGAAGCCGCCTGTTTGGGTTGTATGTGTTGATAATGAGAGGTCTCTTTTGACCAACAGTTTGTTCTTGCGATGGGTAACTATCTGAACAACGGGCAGCCGAAGAGCCACAGGACCACCAGCTTTAAGATCAACTTCCTCACCGAGGTACAGCTTGTACAGACTGAGTTTTATCCACGTTTTAGTTTTAGTTTGAAATTCTGTCTTTCCCGACATCTCCCAGCTGAGCACAACAAAAACAGTGGATGGAAAATCCACCTTTCTCCACATCCTGGCGAAGTCGTTGTGCCAACATTTCCCCGAGCTGCTGAACTTCCCCAGAGAGCTTCTGACGGTGCCGCTTGCTGCTAAAGGTAGGATTTACTAAAATGCCTTTAACCTTTTCATCTACCTTTATAATCATAAAGATGAAAGTTGGTAACGCGCCCGTGTTTCCATGGTAACGTGTACAGTGAACCAGAGGGCCATCACGACCGAGCTGAGTGACCTGCACACCACCGTCCAGGACATCAGGACGGCCTGTCAGAAGATCCTCGCCACTCCTGAGGACCACTTTGCCTCCGTCATGAGCGTACGTCAAAAACGTGCACACGCAAAAAATAAATATAAAAAAGAGCTCTTCGTTGTAGGTTCAAGATTTCTTACTGCGAGAAACTAAAAGAACAGTTTCCAGTTTTGGTTTACCGCTCAGTACGTATGTGTCTGTTGTTAGTTTGGACCCAGATGCAGGCAGGACTCGAGGACTCAGGAATAAATGGAATATATTTATTGAAACAACACAAAGCGACAGCAGACATGGCAGCAGAACTAACATGATGAGGTGACGCAGAGGGAGAACAGGACATGACGTCTACGGACAATGAAGGCAGGACAAGACTGACTAAATGGGAACACCCATGATTGACAATGAGGGACACCTGGAGCGATTAGTGTGGGAGACAGGTGTGTAGAGCCAGAAAGACACACCAATCCTCCCACTATGGAGGTACGGCTAGGTCTTGTTAGTTTAGCATTAAAACTGGACCATGTTAGACTGTCTTTGCACAAATGCGCGTGTATATGTGTGTACTATCTGCTTTCGAGTTATAGCCCCCTCTGGTGGAAACTCCACGAGCCACCACTGCTCTTGATGTTATGTTTGTTGCACCGACGCGGTCATGGAAGCTAATGCTAACTCAACGGTGGGTTTAATGTTTTCTTTTTTCTGTATGTTTTTGTTTTGTGTGCATCGAGTTCAATACTACATAAACCATGCTACAATAAACTCACTTTTGAGTTAGCGTTAGCTTCCATGACCGCCTCAGTGATGCTGCTTTCCTTCAAAATCAGCACAAGTGTAACGTCACATGACTAAGAAAGCGGATGTGGGTGTTGGATTCTGACATCCTTTGCTAATGTCTGTGACCTGAAGTAACCCTGCGCCTTTTTTACATTGAATTTTTAGAAGCTGACAGTGAAATTGAGCCGGTTGACTCTCAGGACACTATTGAGCTTGAATTTTTTATGCGCCAAATTTTTTAACACTGAAAAGTTAAACAGAAAAACAGATTGAAAATGTGATCACTTTAAAATAATAATGTGAATTTTAGCTTGAAGTGAAAACAACAAATCATATTTCAAACATATAGAAATAATGACAATTATTTTTTATGGTTAAAAATGTATTCTGAATATATTTTAATACTGAAAAATTAAATACAAACATACATTAAAACTTCAGTGGCGTTTTTAATTCAAATCTTAACGACACATATTTACTTCCATATTCAGGCTTAAGATTGCATCATGACAATTATTGCTTCTATTTTTAGAACTTGCCTAAGCCCCACCCTGAAGCCTCTGTGAAGACGCAGAGACTTTATCGTGTCTCCTTCTAGAGGCTGATCATCTGCTTCTCCCACAGAGTTTCCTGGAGAACAGCCACCCTGCCATCCAGTCTCTGGAGTCTCTGCAGACCCGAGCGATGGAGGAGTTCTCCAAGGTGGCCTCCTACTTCGGAGAGGACAGCAAATCCACCAGCACGGACGCCTTCTTTGGCATCTTCTCAGAGTTCATGTGCAAGTTTGAGGTGAGCTATATTTGACTCGTTGCAGACTGCGAAAACTTTTTTTTTTTTCATGCATTCAGCAAACGTGTGACAGATTCAGCTCTGCATAACGATGAGGTGAACTCGGGGCTGTCGCACAAACTGCCTGCAGCTGTAAAATGATTGGGCTGTAAAGTGCTGCTCGGTGTGGAAATAAAAAAAGTACACCACGATAAAATGAATTTAATAAACTGGATAAAAACTTTGACTTGTTTTTAATTTTTCAGAGAGCTCTCAGTGAGACGCAGACTCCAGAAAACCCCCGGAGCCCCAGACTGTCTTCGCCTCTGGCCTGGTAGAAGTGAGAAACCCGTGCGGCTGTCGGGCCAGATGACAGAACCGAAGTGCCAAGTTCACACTCAGACACACTCGAACCGACAGGAACAGAGACACGATGGGACCAACGCTTCAAGCTAACGAACGAGCGGCTGAAAGAGCGGGGACATCCAGCACAAATGTTAACAGAAACACTTTTAGTTGTTTATTTCCAACACCGCGTCCTGAAGTCTTTCTGAGTCGTACCTGACAGGTTTCGGTTGAAATACCGTTTGGCCTGCGCACTTCCTGCTTCGCCCATTCAAACCTGGGTTAAATAACCAGAACCTGGCTGGCTCGGTATCAGCGGTGCAGCCAGATTCATTTGGACCTATAAGAAAAAGGAGCTGTGTTTAACCCAGAGGGATCTTGTTTTGCATTGTTCCCTGTAATTGATGTGCCGTTGTTCGAACATATAACAAGCCGAGTTAAATGGGTCACATCAGAGTTCCTGAGCAGAGCCGTGCGTTGTCCAGATTATAAATGGAACTGTTTTATTGCAAATAATTACCGATGTGAAGGGACAACGTCCAAGGTGTTTGCAGTCGCCTTCATTGCCTGCAGCGTTAGCTAGTGGCTAAAATCAGTTCTAACATTAGCGCAGACTCTTTGAACTGATCCGTCTTGTGTGTTCAGAACTTTCCATCCATTCATGTTAAGGATTAATTTGCACCGTTCTTTTCCCACGTTGGAATGATGATATAACGCACAGCTTCACTGATGTTTAAACCCAGGAATTAGCTGCACAAGAATTTATTCTTGATTTTCTCTCATATACACGAGGGGACAAACGTTTCCATTAAAATGTGGTTAAACGCTGCTTGGATCACCCTTTTTTTTTTTTTTTTTTTTGGTATCCAACAAAAACACTGATGTGTTTCTGTTTGAAGCTCTTCTTGGCAGAACTGGTGACGTTTGTTTAAACTGGTTGGTGTTCTGGCTCAGACTGGCTCTAAATCTTAGTCGGAAAACTGTTAATAGTGTTGAGTTTGGGCCTTTGAGAAGTCTAATCCAGAAGCTTAATGTTAATCTGATCCAGCTCTGGTGGGTTTTGGATCGTTGTTGGAACTCACAGCTGTCCGAGTTAAAAACTGTTTCTATTGATTTGAGAAAGAATCTGGAGGTAGACCCCCCTGTGCAAGGCACCAGCACCACAGCATGATGCTACCACTACCATGCTTGACAGCTGTTTCTGATGAACTCGTTTAAACTTCTTGTTGTGGTCAACAAACCCAGTCGTCTCATCTGACCACAACACTTTTGTTCTTAAGGCCTGTTCCTTGAGCTTGAAGGCGTCACTTTTGGAGAAGGAGCTTCTGTCTCTCTCGATCCATGTTCACGTGACATGTGCTTCGATGTGAACGGCAACGCTGGTGTTCCAGCGACCTCCAGCTCCTGCAGGTCTTGTTGGTTTCTGGTTGTTCCAGACAATTCGCTCTCCTTCACAGATTGGTTTTCTGTGAGTTCCTTAGACTATCCCATCGTTCTGAGTATTGGTCAATCAAATCTTAAATTTTTTTTGGGGCCAGCAGAGAGAAACTTCCAGCTGCAGTCAATCATGATCCCTAACAGTCCTCCAGCACCACTTACTAAAGGAGTTTGGTGAACATGTGGATCTATTTACGCCTTAAATCCACAATAAATTCTAACTTTAAACCATTGAAGCTGTATGTTGTATAATCGTTCCATCAAGGGAAATAACTATTCAGTTCAGTGTAAACGGACCCAAGTTGGTAAAACAGTCCATTTTGCTCTTAGTTTTTTTTAATAAATGTATTATTCAACACATTAGTTGTGCAAGAAGCCTTCTAAGTTTATTTTAGTTACTCTATTTTTATGTTGGTTAAAGGGAGATTAAATGAATTAAAGCTGCTCGTCTGGATGTCTACGTTTTGTACATTACTGTGTAAAGTTTATATTTTTATAAGATCAGATGTCAGAACTATAAAGATAAATGTAGAAGGATTACAGATATCGAAAACTGCAAGTTTAGTTTTTAATGGTGCATTCACTGCCTCGTAGTGGAAATCATAAACTGGAGTTTTAGCCTTTAATTAAAAAACAAAAAAAAAGACAACCTTCTGCTTTTAGCGGACGAAGGACAGAAACAGGTTTTATGTTTGATTCGAGCGGACACGCTGTGTGTTCGTGTGAACAAAGTGAACGGTTCAAGTTTAGATTGTTTCTAATTTGAGACGAAACTGAGCGAACGAGCTAGTAGAAGCAGCTTTGGAGGTGAAAATAAAAGAACAAGTCAAGACATTTCAACTCGAACACGAGCAGCTTCGATGGGTTGATCGATTTTTGCTCAGCTGGCTAAAAAAATTAACGATTTAAATGTGATGCATGAGTCTGCAGGATTTTTGAACATGGACCGAAGCCTCTTTGCCGACTCCTCCTCAGCTGTTCATCAAACCCAGACTCATTCATGCTTGTTCTGATCCTGCTCCTCTCCGATGTCGTTCATCTCCAACGCTGTCGTGTCGTATTTATAAACTGCTGTTCAGGTTGTACATGTAGTTTTCTTTCTATGCACCATTACTCAAGTTGGACTGCTGTCCTGATCCATTCTCTTATTTTAGTCCTCCTTGCACAGCTTTCGTCAGACTTACGAGGTGACTGTGATGCAACCGTAGCTGCAAAAGGTGTAAAAAAAAATAATTTAATTTTCTTTTTAAAAGTTTGTCTCGGTCCAAAGCATGTTGGTGGAGTTCGTGTCATCACATGCAGCTGGTAGCATCTCCCCTTCTGCAGTATTTAGGTTTAAAATAAAAATACACATTGTGATCTTATTTCTGTATTAGTTCTCTTTTATAACCGTTTTGTATGTTCTCATGGAACGTTGCTGATGTCATGTGGTCAGACTATTGGTTTGCTTTCAAATAAAGAATGTTTTTGATCTACACGGTGCAGATCCGCTGATTTCTTGGCTTCGAGATGATTTTTAGGCAGAATGGAGAGTTTAAAGGTGTGGAGGTCAGAACTTTATAAAGTTTGATTTACAAGATTTGTGCAGCCATAATCCACTTGTGTTTAGTGGGATCAATTATATTTTCCGCCGTACACGTCGCACCGCCCTATAAGTCGCATCAGTCCAAATATGTCTAATAAAGGGGTGGGGGGAACGCTGCATCTATTACGCGTCACCGTTGACAACCTGGAAATGTGGACCGGTGTCGTGCCAAAAATCGATTGGCTGCCAAATGGTGGCCGCAGGAGCATGAACGGGAGGACTTTAACAAGAAATTAACAAGATTAACACTTAAAAACCATTTGTTTGCTCCATATTATAGTAAAGTTGTGTCTCAGTTGAACTTTTACTTAATAAATGCACTTTAAAGGTCAAATTAGCTGCATTTCGCCGTGGCGGCGCAGTGACATGAAGCTGATTTGACGGTTGCTCCAAACGAGCTGGACGACAGTGGGAGTCTGTGGCAAGACAATTGTATCATTAATAGCTACTTTTATCCATTACATGACACAATTGCAAGCCATACCCCTTGAGTGCCAACTAGGCTGAAAATGTTAAGTGTTCAATATTTCCAGGCAGAATGAATGAAAACGGTCACATCGCAGCAAAAATTGGTTTATAAATACGGGAAAATATCCATAAATATGTCGCTTTGGTGTATAAGTCATGCAAGTTATGCAAAAAACTGCGACTTGTAGGCTGAAAAATACGGTAATCAAACCAGCTACACTAGCAACTACTACAAAGCATGATTCTTCCACTTCCGTGCTCCCATTGCACCGTTGATGGGTCATGAATGTAACTTAAGTGACTTGGCTGCATTTAGCCACATTTACTGAGGATTGAAAAGCAACATTCACTTTAAATTCAGGTCAAAATCATGCACCGATCAGCTCAAACCAACTTAAATTAACTTCACGTTCCATTTTACAGTAAGCTGCCATCAACTTTAATGTAAATGAGTCAAACCAGAAGTAGATTTGTAACTTTATTTACTTTATTTTCTTTGGAAAGGGGGTAATGTCAAGCTTCATATTACAGTTTTGTCCTTATTTAAGATCATCAAACAGCATACATATAAAACTATAGCTTCAAAATGCATTCTCATTTCTCCTTTAATGGCATTTTGTCTTACAGAGCCTGCAGTGGCCAAGCTCCCATGATACAAACGGATAAGGCAGCAAGGTTACAGGAGAAAAAAGAGAAAGGAAGGGGTTAAAATGCTTTGATTGTCTCTGAAGCATCCGAGCCTTTCTCCGCTGGTACCATCATTGGCTTGGTTCTCTCGAAACCAAACTCGTTCGCAAAACTTTTGACCTGGTGTAAATCTAACCTCACGTCACTACCAAGACCCCGTGTGATCTCAGCTCAGTGAGAAAGATGGGAGAAAATAAAATCCCTAGAAGTTCAGAAGAAACATCTGGTTCTGCTCAGGACCCCGTCCTTACATTCACTCTGTGTGCCGGCTAACGTTCCCTGCAAACGGAGAAAACACTGGAGCAGACGGAGGAACAGAGGCGGCAAAATACTGTGTTCAGACTGGAGGTGTGGGGGGAGTGAACCCTGCTACTTCGCTTAGAAAACCCAGACATCACCCAAAACACAATTAAATACACAACTGGAACAACACAACAACCAGACATGGTTTCTACTGCAAGGAGTCAGAACACCTTCCCCACGTCCCTGAAACAACTTCTTAGAAGCGCTGCAGTACGACTGTGGTCAGTAAAATGTTCTGGGAGGAACAGATGAGGCACGCTTCATAGTCAACTGCATTCATTCTGACAAGCCACAGGGAATGTGTTTTAAAGTTGCTAAATAAATAGAAGCGCGAGCAAACGGTGGTGGATTAAGTGTCTGAGGTGACTGGAAACCTGCAGTCACCAGCTACACTTTTGGTTTCTAGCTCACTGGCAAACCTTACCCCCACCATTCCGTACTGGAGAATTGCATCTTTGTTTGTTTAAGGCCATTTTGTTCCGAACACCTCGCACTGATCTATAAAGGAGTCTCATCTGCGTTTTTTGGCAAAGCGACTCAGTCACGCGTCAGCCCACTCTGCTGCTGATTGTCTCGAGCTGCTTCTGCAGGACGGGTTGTAAAAAGACAGAATGTGGCAGCGTCTGTGCGAGCCGGGGGTGTTTTAAACATCTGCGTGTCACAACCTGCACCAGGCACCGTCAAGAATCTGTTGGTAAGCAACCGAAAGGACGAGACGTAGCAGATAAGACACAGCTGCTGTGAACGACTGGATTAGGAGCAGAGCTGCGAGTGATGAGTAGAAAAGCGTTTCGTGTTAAGAAACTGCTACAAATATTTGCATGTCTCACATAAAACGCGCAATAAACGCAAATCAGATGCTTTGGTTCTTAAGAGGTCTTCAAAGATTTGAGCCACCAACGTCCTTCATCTGAGGTGGACATGTTTGTCCTCAGGGCTGCGGTGAAACGAGACTGGAGTCCTGGTCCGGTTGTGTCGTCTCCTTATAGAACAGTGCTCTCAGTGTCCAGGTCACAGTCTTTGGGATGAGGCAGGTGGGATGAAGAGGAGGCTGTCACTGGCTGCTGGTCTGCATCGAGCTCAGGGACTAAAGCTCGACTGAGCCCCTTGAAAGACATCACCGGGTCTAGACAGCAGATAATGGAGACATTACAGTTAACAGTGAAGAACCGTTACAACAAAAAGCTCAAATGCTCTAATCACCATAAACTGAGGTTGAGTTGGCAATAAATTATTTTTCATGCTTACAGACATTCAAGCTCAACACTCCTCACAGATCTTTAAAAATACAGGTGCTGCTCATAAAATTAGAATATCATGAAAAAGTTGATTTATTTCAGTAATTCCATTCAAAAAGTGAAACTTGTATATAATATTCATTCATTACACACAGACTGATATATTTCAAATGTTTATTTCTTTTAATGTTGATTATAACTGACAACTAATGAAAACCCCAAATTCAGGATCTCAGAAAATTAGAATATTACTTAAGATAAAAAAAAAAAAGATTTTTAGAAATGTTGGCCAACTAAAGTATGAACATGAAAAGTATGAGCATGTACATCACTCAGTACTTAGTTGGGGCTCCTTTTGCCTGGATTACTGCAGTATGTGGCGTGGAGTCATCAGTCTGTGGCACTGCTCAGGTGTTATAAGAGCCCAGGTTGCTCTTCAGCCTTCAGCTCTTCTGAATTGTTGGGGCTGGTGTATCACATTTTCCTCATCACAATACCACATAGATTTTCTATGGGGTTAAGGTCAGGTGAGTTTGCTGGACAATTAAGAACAGGGATACCATGGTCCTTAAACCAGGTACTGTGTGCAGGTGCCAAGTCCTGTTGGAAAACTAAATCTGCATCTCAATAAAGTTGTAAAATTCCTGGTAGATGGCTGCATTGACCTTGGACCTCAAAAAACACAGTGGACTGTGGAAACTTGACACTGAACCTCAGGCAACATGGATTCTGTGCCTCCTCTCTTCCTCCAGACTCTGGGACCTTGATTTCCAAAGGAAATGCAAAATTTACTTTCATCAGAGAACATAACTTTAGACCACTCAGCAGCAGTCCCAGGAGAGACGCTTCTGACGCCGTCTCTTGTTCAAGAGTGGCTTGACACAAGGAATGCGACAGCTGAAACCCATGTCTTGCATACAGCTGTGCATGGTGGTTCTTGAAGCACCGACTCCAGCTGCAGTCCATGCTTCATGAATCTCCCACATTTTGGAATGGGTTGTTTCACAATCCTCTCCAGGGTGTGGTTATGTGAACAGCCAGCCTCTTTAGCAATGAGCTTTGGACAACTGTCAAGTCAGCAGTCTTCCCCATGATTGAGTAGCCTACAGAACTATACCGAGAGACCATTTAAAGGTCTTTGCAGTTGTTTTGAATTAATTAACTGATTAGAGTGTGGCACCAGGTGTCTTCAATATTGAACCTTTTCACAATATTCTAATTTTCTGAGATACTGAATTTGGGCTTTTCATTAGTTGTCAGTTATAATCATCAACATTAAAAGAAACAAACATCTGAAATATCAGTAAGTATGTAATGAATGAATATAATATACAAGTTTCACTTTTTAAATGGAATTACTGAAATAAATCAACTTTTTCATGATATTCTAATTTTATGACCAGCACCTGTTTATATATAATCACCAACATCTGCAGCCTCTTTCTGCTGCCTGAGAACATTTGAAGCTGCTGAAGCTGAGCAGGGAGCTGTTCTGTGGTTTGACCAGCAGGTGGCGGTGTACACTCAGAAACAGAGGAGCAGCAACACGCAGTGAGAACAGTGGTTCAAGTGAAGTCTAGTGAGAGCTGAAGTTACCAAGGTGCTCCGAGTGTGTGCTCGAGGGAACATGAAACATTCTGCATGTATGTGTTAGTGATGAGGCAGAATGGAAACATGCACAGCTGACACAGGATTTAAAAGCCAATGTACAAGAACAAACAAGTTTAAAAACAACGTTCTTCAGGTAAAGGATTGAAAAATACAAATAGTCAAATAGAAATAGAAAAAAGTACCTTTCAATTCAAAGGTTTTGCTCATCAGAACATGATATAATGATCTATTAAATGTAATGTGATGGTAGACAGCTGTGTTTTCTGTAATGAGCTCGTTTTCTGCTTCAACCAACCACTTTTGATAATTAATACTCAGCTTTTGAATTGAATAACTCGTGGAAAGACAAACCCACTCATGTAAACTAGTTGAATGTGAAGCAACAAACAAATGTGGGGATTTATTCAACATGTTAGGTGTTCCTCTCGAGTATTAAAAATCAGAAGTGGTGCTTTAGGGAAAGTGAGAGGTGGTTTTTGTCTCGGGGCTGAGGCAGGTGATATCTGACAGAGGCAGCAGTGCGGATGAACAGGGTGTGATGTGGAACAGTGCAGGTGCTCCTAGTGCAACACACAGTGGTCTACAAACCTCTCACAGTGCTGCTCTAACCTGTGGAGGCATCACAATGCAAGACTGTTAGAAACTTGTTAGTGTTCGGCTGCTAAGAAACTGTGCGCAGCACACGTGCACTGTTAGGGAGCCGCACCCACCCATCGTTTTGTAAGCAGAGGCGCAGATTCCGTTGGTCTCGTTGCTCGTGTTGGGTTGAGGGGGTGGGGGGATGGTGGGTCTGTTCCGAGGCTTGGGGACCGGCCGCGGTCGCGGGAGTGAGCTCGAATGATAGGGAGACGGAGACGGAGGAGCCGCGACCTCCTGGTTGGTGTTAGAGGGTGGAGGAGGGGTGTCCGGTGGGGACGGGGTGCCTGGAGGTGAAGGCTCCAGGCCCTGCTGGTCCCCGACGGCCTGGCTGACAGAAGCAGGCTGCGCTGGGGGGCTGGCCAGTGATGGAGGCTCTGGAGGTGGGTGGTTTGGAGCCTGGATCGGAGGCTGATTGTTGGAGTGGCGCCTTGGGGTGGCAGACGGCTGGGAGGTGGGAGAGGAGGGGGAGGTGGGGGAGTGGCTGGGCGGGGGTCTGGCAGTGGGGCTGAGGGACTGGGATGAGCCAGAGGATGAGGCGTGGTTTGTCGAGTTGCAAGGCTGGCTGGGAGGAGGGTTCGATGGTTTGGGAGGGGCAGGAGCCTGCTTCTTGGTACCTGGAAGTTCAAAGTAAATCTCAGGATTACTGACGAAACATACGGACCGACACAGTTGTTGGAACAGCCACAGCTCACTGGAGCAACGCTGCAGTTCGCTGGAAAAGTGATGAAGTTAAAAACAATTTAATGCATCTCTGCAGACAGTAAACTAATCAAATAGTGAGAAGAACTCATTTGTTGTTTGTTTCATGAAGAAACGCTCACACCGTGCAGACAACTTTGTTGGTACCCTTAAAGAAACTTGTACTCCTTGGATTAAAGTCGTGTTTCAAACAGAGCACTTGATCTTAATTAGTCACAGACGCTTTCAAGCTTTTTATCAGCCAATTTAAATGGAACAAACAGCAGCCGGGTAGTTCTGTGTCGCGTCAACCACTCCATGTGGAGCGAAGGAAGGAACAGAGACGCACACGATAAACAAACAAACGATCACAGCTGCCACCATGTTGCAAAGCATGGGGTTCGTGGAACTGTTAACCTCCCAGGATGTGGACGCAAGAGGAAATGCAACCCCAGGTTAATCCGACGAGTCAAGAGCCAAGGAAACCCTTCAAGCTGAACTCTAAGGTCGAGGACCCAGGAGGCTCCAAAAACAGAAAAACACACAAAATGCCTGATGACAAATCCTGAAGTTTCTGAGGCCGATGAGACAAAACTGGAGCGTTTTGGCTCCAGTCACACCAGCTGTTTTATTTAGTTGTTTTATTACAGTGGAAGGACACCAACAAATATATCTTTGTTTGTACAAGTAGTTTCTCTGGATATCTTGTGAATTGATCAGACTGAAAATAAATAAATAAATAAAGTGCAGAGACTTGCCTCGACGCATCATGTGTGGACTGGGTCCCATGGATCCAGTACCAGAGGTTGCTGCAGGGCCCCCTCCACCAGTACCATTCCTCTGAAGCACAGGAGTGGGGGTGGGGGTAGAGTCACGCAGCTTTGGGTTGCTTCAAAGAAAAAATAAATTGCATTTATTATTTCAAGATATATAAAATTCTAGGAACAATTTGAGTTACAGCATTAATAAGTAAATGCTATTTTAATAAAAATTAAACAAGAATTTAGATTAGTCTCAAAGTCACATTAAGAAAAAAGTCTAAAAAACTTGAATGAAAGTTGGCTGCAGTTAGTAAAGGGAACTTATTTATCCTTCACACAGGTTTACTAAGTCCTCCATCACAAACATCTCAGCTTCCCAAAGCAGTCCAAACCAGTTTGTGCTAAATTCCTGCTGATCCCAGTGATTTGGGAGGAAAGATGAGGGATGGAAGTCAAAAAACGTCAACTATGTGATTGTTAGCAGAATGACAGAAGCTTTTGTTGAGCTGGTTCTGTGGGCTGACTTCAGACAAGTCTGCATAGCTGCAGCTGGCACAAGAAAACTTGAGGTTTAGTAAGAAAAACAAGAAGTTGGCCCAAAATGAAGACTGCAAGTGGATCTACTACAACTCTTTTTACTTCATGAAACTAAGCAGATAAACATTTGCTGTTTTCAGAGACCACTACAGTTCCATTAGTTAAAACTCAAAGCACACAGTTCTGTCTCTAAAGCATGCCGTGTTCCCCAGCAGCAGCAGCAGCAGCAGCGGTGCAGTGAAGCAGCTCTTACCTGAACTCCTCTGTCTGCTGGGCGAGGAGCTGCTGAGCAGCTGCCAGAGCAGCCAGACTCTGAGCCAAGCTATGCTGGGAAGTGTCAGACCCTGAACCCCCCAGTGGAGTTTGTGGCTGGGGTTCAGCTGAGGGCTGAGGAGCCCCGTGTCCCAGCCCCTGAGTCTCCACGGGGGGTAAAGGAGGCTGGAAGGCAGGTGAAGTGTGCTGCTTTCTACCTAAGGTGTTACTGCCTCTACGAAGGGTGTGGTCCGAGTGCTTGTTAGGGGTGCTACACGGGACGGGGACAGTCGGGGGGGTGTGAAGGAGAGAAACAGAAAACATTTATCCTAAAGTCAGAAATGAGAGCCGAGTCATCAAACCCCAGAGAAACCACAGACGCAAGTAAAAACAGTGGATTATAATATTACAATGATTATTAAGGGTATATGTTATACTTGTAATAAAAAAGATGGGAATAAAAGCAAATAAATTTAAATAAGCAAAGCAACTGGTGGGAACCGAGATGCAAAGATTACTTGTCTTTGCGCGCGGCGTCGTTCTCTGGTCCCACCATGCTGCCGGGCCGCTTCCTCTCGATGGTGCTGCAGTCGTAGTCCTGGCTGGAAGCAGGTGTGGGCATCACGAACATGCCCGACACGTTGAACTCCACATCTGCAAGAGAAAAGACTCGTGAGTAATGAAACGCTGCACAGGACAAACCTGCAGTTTATTCAAGCAAATGTATCAGTTTTACAGCGCGCTTAACAAAACACAAACTTTTTAAGTTTCACTTATGACACGAGGGAGAACATTAACCAAGATCACGTGGATCTTGGTTTTTAGCCGTAGCGTGCTTCGTTATAATCCAGAGGAAACAAACAGGTAAACTCATTGTGGACCGCCTTAAATATCACTTTTATATATCTTCATTCTTACAAGATCAACATTAAATCATTTAGTGCTGAGCTTTGCCTGCCTGCAGCTTTAGAAAAACATACAGAAGTTTGGTTGTTTTTGTGATAAAACTGGCTACAATATAATATTTAATATTATAATGTAAAGTCATTTCATCCAGTTAATGGTGTCAGTGTTACTTAAATATAAATGCTTATGTATTACAGCAAACCACTGGCTGAGCTACCAGCAGAAAAAGGTTTTAGATGACTTTTCTTGTTTTTTGATGGTATTTTGCTTCTCCATTGAAGAGTTTTATTGATTTTCAATTATTAAGAAAACATTTCTTGGCTGAGAAGCAAAAATCTTAAAAAATACAAGAGAAGGTGTCAAGTTGTCCCAAACCAACAACAAAAAGCTCTTGGACTGGTGGTGTCCTGGCAGACAGAATCTACACCAACACTCCAGCAGAGAAGAACTCTGTGGGCACTTTTTATTCCACCATATGTTTCATGCAGTAGTGGTTTGAATTGAGTAAAAACAATATAGAGACTGCGTTTATCACAGTGTTAATACTTGGCCAGCTGCTAAATTTATTTGGCGATCCAAAATAGAAACGTCTTACGGTCGAGTCAGCCCGTCTCCATCTGTCGGAGCTGAACGACGCATGAAATCAGCTCTTATCTTTGGAAGGAAGTCTCACTGGGTACACAGTTCCCATCTGAACTCCTTTGTTACAACATAACATTTCTCAGGCCAATTTATTTTCTCCATGAAACAAGCAAAGGTGCATCTGCTTCAGACTGATAAAACGACCATTTTACTCTAAAAACAGTGATGAGAAACTAAATTTGTGAAAATATCTTGAGAGGAAACTACTAATTCAAATATATGTTTTATTAAAGGTTTATATTTCCATTAACCTTCCCCTGATAGGACGTTGTATTTAGATTGACACAAGATGAATGTGTCTGTAACCGTGTCCACAGTTTGAGCACAGCAGTGACTTATCGTGCCGTTACAGCTGATTTTCTGTTTTTCAGGTCAGTTAGTATCAGCTGTCCTCACCACAGGTCCCTGGTGTACGACAGGACTGTTGATGACAAACAGAGGAGGCGAGCTCAGAGTGAGAACAGCAGCTGGAGAGGAAAGCCAGGACCTACCCTCAGGAAAGAACCAGTCAGCGTGCTGGATGATGGGCTCAACTATGGACACCACGTGCACAGATGTGGCTGCAGCCATCTCAGCCAGACTCCTGGGTATGCACAGAAACACTCAATTAGATGCTGTCTTACATAATGAGGCACAGACCAAAAGTATTTTTCGCCCTATAGGTTGTGTTTTTTTGCATAATTTGCATGCCGTGTGACGTATATGCCGAAGTGACGTATTTATGGATATTTCCCATATTTATAAACCAAGTTTTGGCTGAGATATGACCGTTTTCATTCATTCTGACTGAAAATATTGAACACTACCATTTTCAGCCACTAGATGGCACTCGAGCAGTATGGCATGCAGTTGTGTCATGTGGTAGGTAAAAGTAGCTATTAATGACACAATCTGCTTGCCATAGACTCCCACATTCGTCCAGCTCGCCTGGAGCAACCGTCAAATCAGCTTCATTTTGCTGCACCGCCCTGGAGAAATGCAGCTAATCTGACCATTAAAGTGCATTTATTAAGGAAAAGTTCAACTTAGACACACCTTTGCTATAATGTTGAGCAAACAAATAAATGTTTTAGGTGCTTATCTTGTTAAATTTCTAAGAAATGCACAGCGAGTCCTCTTGTGCACGTGCCTACTTCCGCGTATTGGATTTTGAAAGCGCAGCCGATTTGACCGTCAAAATGCATTTATTAAGGAAAAGTTCAACTGAGACACACCTTTTGAGCAAACAAATAATTGTTTTTAAGTGTTAATCTTGTTAAATCCTTGTTAAAGTCTTCCTGTGCACGCTCCTGCGGTCGTCATTTGGCAGCCAATCAATTTTTGGCACAACACTGGCCCACGTTTCTGGATTGTCAGCGGTGACGCATAATAGATGCGACGTATGCGGCGAAGCGACGTGTGCGGCGAAGCGACCCATCTATGGATTTTTCCACTTTATTAGACATATTTTTGGAGTGATGCGACTTATAAGACGTGTACGGCAGAAAATACCGTAAACGTTTGTACACAGAAATGTACTCCACCACCATGAACTTTGAGCTGCCTCGGTGTGAAAGGCTGCTTTAAATGCCACTAACGGCTGTAGACAAGCTTTTCCTCTTCATCAACGTTATCTTCCTCTTACCCCTCGGTCTTGGCCCACAGCAGATTGGGTCCCAACACAATGGCGATATTGCTAGGAGTCATTTTGTTCACTTCACTCTCCTGAGCTAGTCTGGCTAAAAATTTCACCAAATACCTGCAAGGAAAATAAAAAGTGCACGTGTCTAAAAACAGTTTAAAGTAACAGACGAATCGATTTTCTAATGACTCAACGAACCTCAAGTTGTTTTTGTTGTTCTTTGGTAGCTGATCACAAACAAGCCACAGCGCCTGCAGCCGTTTGTCCGGGTCCGACACACTGCAACATTTGATTTTATTATGTTATTTTTCCACTAATGTGTAACGACTTTATATACATTTTTAGTTAAACTGTCCTGAGCCTTGCCTGGACGCCTGGATCCACTCTTCATAAAACTGGTAGGTCATGAGAGGTTCAGGGAGTTCTCTCAGGTATGACTTCAGTGCTCCTAAAACCAAATCAAACCAATTAAAGACGCTTTAAAGGGCAATGGTTTAACAGTAATTTGCTTGTGCGCTCCAGTTTGGGACCTACCAGCAACAGCGTGAGGGTCAGAGTAGAACTCCTCCAGTTGTGAAGTGGAACAATCTAGCGCTGCCTTTAGCTTCTTTAACTTGGAAGCCCCAGCTGCGATTCTGAATAGACCCTAAAACACACGCAAATAAACCCACAGTGACATCTGCAGCAGCAGTGAATGAAGATACATGCAAGCATGAAATGTGCACACAACCAAACAGTAACTGAATTACAAATAGACTGGTCCACTCTGCCAGCTGCGCTTCATGAAACCAAACAAAAACGCCCTTCAGTCACAGAGCAGTGAGATATTTACTGTGACATAAACAAAGTACGTCTTCACCACCATAATGACAGAAGCTGAGAAACGACTCAGCGGGGACTGAAGAGAACAACAAGTGATGTTCTTCCAGGTTTAACGCTTGGTCTCCATTTTATTTATGATACGCACACAAAGAGTTGTGATTTATAGACTATTGTATTCTAAATGTGACTCAGGGAGGAGACGTTCAAACATTTAATAACTCTTCCCTGAAATATAATGATGGATCCCGTTTCTAGAAGAGCACAAAAAAAAAATCACGTTTGTTAGCTCGCTTAACTGGTCCAGTTGGTTTGACTGGGTTCATGTGGGCAAAACGTTTATAGTAAACACAGAAAAAGTTCTGCGAAGCCTCTAATGAGACACACAAGGGCTTCTTCTACATTGATGGCTTTATACAAGAAAACAAGAATTCAACTATACTGCAGGAAGAAACATGAAGGGATTATCTAGATCTCAACTAAATGCACAAATTAAAGCTTTCCCACAGAAGAAACAAAACACACACAGATATACTTCTTCAGATTAACAAACATATTGATGCTGCATTCAAGGCGTACTGATGATAGTGAACACAAAGCTGATTGTTTTGGCACCAGTGTAAAACCAATAAAAACAATAAAAGAGCCCAAAACATCACCCCATTGAATCTGTGCAGGGTGCAATTAAATCCCAAGACTCTCGAGGCATTCTGCAGTAAAATGTGCACCCGTTTCAGAAAGCTTGGTCTCAGTCTACCAGGATGATGACTCACACACAGCTACAAACACACTAGAATGGATTAGAACTAGAGACGCACCGATCCAATGTTAGTATCGGTACCGATATCAGGAAAATTATTGATCTGGTATCGGTAGATAGGCACGGATCAGATATTACTGTATTTTTCACCCGATAAGTCGCAGGGGGTTTTTTTGCATAATTTACATGCCCTGAAACTAAGAGACGTATTTATGGATTTTTTTCCATATTTATAAACCACTTTTTGGCTGAGATTTGACTGTTTTCATTCATTCTGACTAAAAATATTGAACACTACCATTTTCAGCCACTAGATGGGACTCGAAAAGTATGGCACGCCGTTGTATGATGTAATAGGTAAAAGTGGCTATTAACAACACAATTGGCTTGCCATAGCCTCCCACCTTTGTCCAGCTCGCTTGGAGCAACCGTCAAATCAGCTTCATTTTTCTGCGTCGCCCCGGTGAAATGAAGCTGATTTGACCGTTGAAGTACATTTATTAAGTAAAAGTTCAGCTGAGACACACCTTCGCTATAATGTCGAGCAAACAATTGTTTTAGGAGCTAATCTAAATGAACTTTACCAGTGACCGTATATCACGGGTGTAAAATTCACTCTTTTTGAGCTGAGATGAGAAAAATATTTAAAGTATTTTTCAAAACATAAATATATGCTGGAAATAAAAATGTTAACACTTGTGGAAGTTTTGTCCAGCTGACTGGTATCACATTTATCTGATCGCTAATGAGTCTTTAAAGACATTAGAAAGGTGCTTCAACTACCACAAGATCATTTTCATAAAGAGTTAAAATTGAAAAGCTGATCAAAACCCAACTCTTTGATCAATTTTTTTTTAAGGAATAAAAAAAAACAAGATATCTTATATCAAAATATTCATACAGAAAAATATTCTTAGGTTTCAATAGATCTTATTTTTGGGGGGATTTTTAGTCAAAGTTTCCGAATGTTTTTAGCTACTATGGCTGAGAATGCTAACTCTGCCCATGAACCGTATGTTTGTGTTAGTAGAAAGCTGAATGAGGAGCAGGGTGAAGCTGCTACGTGCAGCTGCCGCTCCAAGGTCGACGCAGAGCGTGTGAGCTCGGCTGAACTGATAAGTGTATAAAAACAAGCTTCACACACTGCTCGTGGCAGATTCTTGTGACTGGGCTTCTTGTGTGTACTCCTGTCCTGAAAATCTGTCCTCGTAAGTAAAATCAGTTAAAAATCTTATCCTGTCGTCGAGCGTGGCTCCTTTTGAGTAAGTGAGATAAAGCGAGAAGATTTTTCTCCAACATTATTTATCAGTCAAAATAAACAGAGTTTACTGGAAAAAGATTAAATTAAATACATACATTATTTTACATATACATTGTCCTACTTGGTAATGATTAAGTATGTACAGGAGTGGCTGCCTGACATTTTTTAAGTGGCCAATATTGTAAAATTATTCAGTCTGACAGAGACACCGTAAAGAAACAGCAGAGCAGGAGTGGAACTCACAAATCAGTACAACCTGATTTTTTGTCACCGTCTCCGCCTCTCGAAGTTTAAATGAATATTTTCCTCTCATCTAAAACGAATTAACAGCTTGAAAGTCAATAACTCACCTGCTAAACTTGGCATTAAGTCTGTTCTGTTTTATAATAAATTTCTGCATTGCTATCTGCAAAGCACCAGTGAAGAGAACAAAGTATGTCCAACACTTCTTTAAAAAAAACTGAGAACAAAAGCATCACTGCAAGCACCAAGTCTTTCTGCTGATTTCAACACGCATGGAAACCCAAACATCTTGCTTTGCTCTTTTCAGCATCTCACTGCAAAACTTTAAACAGTCAACGTACAATTCAGCACAGCAATTTAAATTGTACAATGCTTCATGCTTTTGCAGAATAAATAAAGGGTGCTATCAACACTGCAGATTGTAAATCATCTTATTATTTTTCCTCTCTCTCTGAGTTTATTTACCTCTTCCTTCATGCCCGTCTCCAGAAGCATCATGATGCAGGCCTCTATCGGCAGAGCGATCTCTCGTCCGCTTCTTTTCAGATGATCATCCAGAGCTGTGCCAAACGCAGGTTTTTCCATCCATGAGTCTAAATGCAAAGAAAATAAAAGTCAAAACAGCAAAAAAAATACATAAATGAGAATATAATGCAGCTGTTTAGGGTTATTTGCATGTCAGACTAGTGGTTGTTTGCATGGCAGCTTTCTGGGTCAAAGAATCTCCTCTGAGTCGTTTACTTTTGCTTAAACAGTCTAAACGATCTCCAAAGAGCGCTTTCAAATAGCAACCACATGTTCACAGACAGCGACTCTGCAGCTGTCTCCAAGTTTGTGACTCCGTCTGCAGGAGAGACATGTGGAGGGGGGACTAGACTTGGAAAATTCAGGTGGGTTTGATGTGAGAACGGGGCGGGGCGGGGGGTTGCATGTGGAGTTTGTGAGTCATCACCACATGCTGAGACTGGGGTTGTTGTGTTAAAACCACATGCGTTTTGTGAAGGGGGGGGGGGGGGGGGAAGCTAATTAAACAGAACCCAGCAAGACTGAAAAGAAGACGCATTTTTAAACTAGAAAAACTGCTTATGGTGGAGAAAATAAAAACAAAAAGATTATTATTTAGCATCAGAGACTCATTTACAACCTTAAATATGTAGACTATGGAATAAGACGTGGGTTTGATTTATTATTAAAGATCTGCCTCTCAATGAGCAAACCTTAGGATGTCGCTCAAAAAGAAATGAAAAGGGTCACGTGTGACGCCTGGGACTGCAGGAATGAGTTATGTTGTATATGTTGAAGGCATATTTTACCTTGCTGAGCCTGGATGGTGGGTAAGACACTCTCCAGAACAGTGAGAGACTTTCTGTGGTAATCAGCCTGAGCTTCTAAGAGCTGCAGAAACAAGATGGGAAAGATCAGGTTGAATAAGAATAAGAGCAACAGAAAGTAAATAATTTGCCCAGCCAAGTCTGTTCCCTTGTAATCCTGCAGCTGCAAACATTCCCACATGAACTCGTGCTCAAACATTTCTGACTGGTTGACACGCTGCACTCACCGTCACAAAGTAGTGGGCGTAGTCGCCTTCTTTTGAGAAGAAACTGTACATGTCTGCAGCGAGCTGATCCTGTTGGGACAGAAATATGAGAATAGGTCAAATAATTTTTCAAAAAAAGGAAGGGTAGTTGTTCTTTTTAAAGCTCGCTTTACATACTGTATATTCACCACCAAAAAAAGAATGAATAATAAATATTTGGTGGATTTTAATTTAGGAGAACTTGGAAGCAGAAGCTAATGGAAAGAAAACCCATCAAGCTCTTACTTTATGCTAAAGCTCACCAGTGACTACAGTCAACAGATGCAAACGCACACACACAGAGCTGACGAGGCATTTTCAGTCCTCAAGCATCTGACTCAGACAGCCCAAGGGTCCAAGGAATGCCCACGTCACTGTGGGGATTTTCTCCTCAGCTTAATGTTCCAGTTTGTTTTACTCACCACAGAAGCCATAAAAGTCATTAAGCTGCCTTGTTGGTTCCCTATCAATGTACGAGATGCCAGAAGCTGATGTAAACTGCATTAAAATCCATTACCACCTACTGAAAGCTTGTGGTCTGCATCTAATGTCATTAGAAAATGTTTAGTAGTGCTGAAGCAGCACTTTGCAAAGATTCCTATACGCCAATGCAGCAAACATTTGGATGAACTGTTATAAATATGACACACAAGATAAAACAAAATGAAACCATTAAATAAAACAGATTTTTTTTTATGCTGGTTACCTTGCACAGCTCTACTTTGTTCATAGCTTCGTCCACCTCCTCTTTGAGCAGGTCAGCCTTGGCTGTCAGTGCTTGGGTGTTTGTTCCTGAGATTATTGACTTGGTTGCCTGCAACCACCTGAACTCAAAGGTGCAACAAAACAAAGGCAGAACATTTACATAAAATATACACTTTAAAAATCTGGTCGCGGTTGCACTACAAAATCAGCCTAGCTGAGAAAAGAACTGAATCCGTTTAGTTAAGTGATGAATATTTCCCATTTGAAAGACAAACCTCGCTCTGGCTGAATCATAGTCCAGCACCATCTTGGCCAGCTGTTTCCTCTGCTTCAGGATGTTGGGAATTTCTACCTACAACAACAATCAAAAAGAAATAAAAAGAAGTAAAGACAGCTACCAGTCTGCATTAATGTTTTTTTTTTCTAGGTTAAAAGATTATATCAAAACTGTTGATTCATGTATAACCTAATTCTGAGGTCCTGCATGTTTTTCTCCAAAGCTCGTGTTTAAATAAACTGGATGCAACCAAAATAAGACGAGATCACTTTGCTACTCTGATTTAGACAAATACAGAAATTGAGACGTAAGACTAGGATTTCAAACCTGGAAAATAAAGTCTAGAAAGTTCACAGAGTGTGCCTGACCTCTGCGAGCTGGCTGAGTGGGTCGAGAACGTCTTTCTCGATCTGCAGCTCGTGTTGCATCAGTTCTGATGCCAGACGGTTCTCAGCCTCTCCACAAACTTCCATCATCTTCCTGTTGGCACAGAGAGGGAGAACTATGACATCAGAACCACAGTTCAGTCACACTTCTTGTTGGCAATATATAATTCGATGCAGACGGACAACGATTTGTAGGATCAGTTCAAATCGATAGACAGAAGCACAATCAGGTCAGTGTAATGGCAACAAAAAGGCTGAGCAGACACATCTGCTCTGGGCAGTTTGATCTACAGTCAGGACTTGGGATGTTCCGACACATTTTATGCCGAAATAAACTTTTTTTTTTTAATAAATAAACTACCTGGTAAAAATAATAAAGGCTATTTGAAGGATTGTACAGCAACTGTTATAGCCATATTAGTTAAACCTTGAAAATAACATACACAGTAGTCCCTCACTTATCACGGGGGTTACGTTCCAGACAGCTCCGCCATAAGTGAAAAACCGCAAAGTAAGGACGTTATATATATATATATATATATATATATATATATATATATATATATATATATATATATATACACACACACACATATACATACACACACAGCCTGGCCAAAAAAAAAACTGCCACAAAAAACAAGGTTGCAGTCTAATATTTCGTTGGACCGCCTTTAGCTTTGATTACAGCAGCATTCTCTGTGACATTGTTTCAATAAACTTCTTCAATGTCACAAGATCTATTTCCATCCAGTGTTGCATTAATTTTTCACCAAGCTCTTACATTGATGACTAGACACTAGGCATGATGGGTGCATCACTTCACCTGCCTCTCTTCTTACCCTGATTCACCCATCACTCTGGAACAGAGTAAATCTGGACTCATCAGATCACATGACCTTCTTCCATTGCTCCACAGTCCAATCTTTATGCTCCCTAGCAAATTTAAGCTTTTTTTTCCCCAGTTAGCCTCACTGTTTAGTGGTTTTCTTAAGGCTACACAGCTGTTCAGTCCCAATCCCTTGAGTTCCCTTCCCATTGTGTTTGTGGAAATGCTCTTAACCTTTTTTTCCAGCCACATTTTTTCCTCCAAGAGACGATGGGTCCCCACTATCATTCCAGTTTTTAATAACGTGTTTGACAGTTCTTAACCCAATTTTAGTAGTTTCTGCACTCTCCTTAGATGTTTTCTCTGTTTGATGCCAATGATTTGACCGTTCTCAAACAGACTGACATCTTTTCCACGACCACACGATGTGTCTTTCAACATGGTTGTTTAAGAAAAGAGAAGCAACTCATTGCATCAGTTGGGGTTAAATAACTTTGTGCCAGCTGAAAGATAATCACCCATGCAGTAATTATCTAATAGGAGGCTCGTACCTATTTGCTTAGTTAAATCCAGGTGGCAACTTTTTTTGGCCAGGCCGTGTATTTTAAGGCTTTATAAACTCTTCCCACACTCTTGCAATGTCCTTATCAATGTTCTAAACTCTCTATATTCTATAAAAGAGCACAGCAAAAGAGAGCAGGCAAACTCATGCTACGGTTACTGAGCCAATCACCGGGGCGGACTGGCCATCGGGAGCACCGGGACATTTCCCAGTGGCCTCAGTGATCGCCGAGGGGTCTAAAGGCTCGGTTCAGGTCGGGCTTGATTATTTTAAATAAACAATCCATGCCATTTGTGCAGCTCACCCAGGTATAAGACAGACCCCACCCCTCCTTTCTTTTTCCGAGGCTGCCCGTCACAGCAGAGCAGAGACACACAACAGGTTGCATGCCCGCCTCCATCGCCAATCGTGTGTCTTGTACAATCTTACATTGAAAACTAGCAAAAGAGTAAATATGCTAAAGTAGAACCGCGAAGCATCGAGGGACTACTGTACTGCAATATCTCACATGATTATTTAGCGCTTGGAGTATGTGTTGGGTATGACTCATATTTTCCCTCAAAACCTTAGCTCAATATCTGTAAAATTCACAGAGGTACAGGTAATTGTGTGCATGCTAAAACTAATAAGCTGTGTACACACATTTTATTAAAATCTGTTCAGTGCTCTATGAGATATCTTTCAACAAGCACGCACGCAAACACAGGCTAAAACATTACAACCAGAGTAACTTCTGTACTTTCTCTTCCTTATTATTTCCAGACAGGCTAATGGCTGCAGTCAAGAACCGGAGACATCCACTTTCTAGATGCTAAACTTTCTGTTTTGTCTTTCCCTGTTAAGGGGAACTGCCAAAGTCTCTGACAAAAAAAAAACTGTGCAGCCTTTTTGCCCTGAACATACGGCCTCATATTTCACCCTCCAGGGTGCTTCTGCTCTATATAGCAACAGTTGTCAGGACGGTGTGATTGGGTGTCTGGTGCGTCCGTAAATTAGTAACTCACCCTATCAAGGAGTCCTCTCCAAGCTGGCTTCCACCCTCCACCATCGCCTGGGACAGTGCAGTGAGGGGAAGCTTTTTCTGTGGAGAAGGAACAGATGGAAACAGATTAGACTCATTTATACACAAAAACTGCTCAAAAGCTTAAGCATTTTATGATGAAGCAAATGGAAAATTCATCAAGAGGTTTCTATTGAACAACGCAATTATACATTTAGTCAGAAAGACGAAGAGAACTTTTGGAGCGAAGGAGGAAAATACAGATGTAAATGTGATTTAAGAAGTGAAACAGCTGTCAAACATCGAGGATGGAAATCATTTTGAGCGTTTATATTTGTGTAAAAACACTGCTGTGTGCTGAGCATCCATTGTTTGTTGTTGGATTTTTTTGGGTCCAGAAAAACCTACAAGGCAAAGAAAGTGTCATGCATGGTAAAGAGATGCTGAAATGGAAAATAGAGCGAGTTGTTCTGAGGGCCGAGACAAATTAAGTGTTTTTACCTGACCATTTCCTGTATAGAGGCGTGGAACGGACTGTAGCACATTTTAGGACGGTATAGGGTGAAAAAAAAAAACATAATAAAAAGAGAAATCAAGGAACATTCTGTCTGCTATATAAACTTGTCATCTTTACTAACAACTACGACGAGGAATCAAACAATTATTTATTACACATCCTGGAGGAATAACTGATTTAATTAGTTGATTTACTGTAAGATGATTTACATGTCTCTTCTCTGCGTCTGCTCCGATGTGTCCCTGCAGACATGACACCATCTTTTTGTGTGTGTTGTGGGACACCACACGAACCAGCTCCATGCGCCGCTCGATCTGTACACAGGACACGCAAGAACAGATGTGAAGCGAATACTTGCCTCTCTAATCCAACAAAGTACAGGAGATCCAGTGCGTGACAAAAACACCATTTATTGAGAAAATACAAAAAAGACAAACACGCACACACAATGCAGTTATTGTGCAAGAACAACAAACAAACAAACAAACAAAAAACTTTAGCAGGGTATTAACTGTCCAAAAGTCCATTAATTTTGTAATAACTAAAGAAAAATACCTAAATTTTGGTGTATAAAGTGTATGATGTGTACGGAGAACCCAGATAAAAAGAAATGTGACAGCTGCTGCCAGTAGTTCATCGTAGTTACCATGGTAACCACACACCTGTGTCAGAAACACAGATAAGGCAGACAGAAATACAGTCGGAAAAGTAAGTCTCGGACAAACTGAGTGAGAACTAGAAGTCAGATTTTAAAAACTTTTATATTTTTTACCGAGTTGCTGAAGACTGAGGGTCACACATGCAGATTTTTATGGTTCTACAGTGTTTTCTGTAGGAAATATGACGAGTTAAAAAGATTCTTTACTTCCAGCTTTGAAGAGAACATTTTGAGCTCATCTGCACGCTGCAATCAGGATTTGAAAGAAAACCACAAGTTCTTCGGCAGTGAGAAAAAGAAAAGAAAAATGCCTAGATTTTTACATAAAAATTATTAATACAATACAAATTTTGACAAATTCTGCATTTGGATTTTTTCCCCCCAAAATCTTTTACATAGTGGTCAGAGTGTAACATTAATGACTGTCTATATTTCATGTAAAAGTTTGTAAAATCATAAAACATAAAAAACATACAAAATATCAAAAAGCCAGATAAGTGATGTAAAGTCCAAAGTTCTCTGAACCGTTTAAACTTTTAATAAAGTTCAAATAGGTTTATTGTCGTTCTTGCTGCATGTGGTACATGAGGTGGAATTAAATTATGTACACAGGGTCCCAGTTACACCCAACAATAGCAAAAATATAAAGTGTAAAAAGAAACGGTAAATAAGGATCTAAGATATACACTAAACACTAATGTAAAACAATATGGCGTAACAGCAGCATGAACATGAGTCTGTGTGAGCAGATGGGTATAAAAGAATACAGCAGCATGAAATAATCAGCAGCATAAAATCAGCGGCATGGATAATCAGCAGCACAGATAAGTCACATATCAATGTTTCTACTTTCTAATGTTTCTACTGTAAAGAATATCTGAGCTATAGAGCGCCAAAGAGTGCTGAGATTCATCATGTTTTGACAAAATCCAATTGATCTCCGTTTATCTTCTGCTGTTTTTTGTGAATTTTGTTTGCGATGTGGAACATATCACTACCAAAGACAGCCCTCTCTTCATGATAAAGCTGAATGCTTTGGTGTATAATTTGCTTTATTCCCTTCCAAGCTGTGCAGCAAGGCAGGAAAAAACCTAACAGAACAGTAATAACATGTCTCTGCACAGATGATGGCTGATGCAATTCCCTCCTGTGCAGATTTGTGGCGATCTTTTGGAGGTCAGCAGTCAAAGTTCAACCATGATTGATAAGGTTTGTCCCTGCAGACCAGTGCTGGAATGTTATCTGAAAAGCACATGACTCATAGGAAATGCCCTTATAGCAACGGCCACTGAGCTGCGACCAAGTGCAAAGAGGATCGTTGGTGTAAAAAAGGCCTTTTTGATTGCACAGACTTTCTCCCGTCTTCTAGCCCAACTACACAGGTCCACTCTGTGCTTTTAGGCTGAGAAGACATAATACTGTCATTGACTAAAGTCTCTGCCATTCGTGGTAAAGACAGAGGCCACTGAAGCTCTGCAGGATGAGTATACTGTCCTCCTCATGCCAGGTGTATAACTGGGACAGTCATCAAGCTACCATTTGGCAAACTGTCAATACTGACTATAAAGAACTCATGATTTGGAGTTACTTTCAAGTCTGCTTAAAAGTCTGGGCGTCACAGACTAAACCAAGAACGGGTTCAAGTTGGCAACGCTTGTAAAAACAAGTTGGTGCCATTTAGCATAAAGAAAGATAAGTTGGAAAGTGATAAACATGTACTTATGATTTAAACCAAACAACGCTCCAAATATAAATGAGAACACTGAGGTGCGGGGGGCTGACAGATGAAATGGATGAAGACAAATGTAGAGGGAGGATCAACTAAACACCAGACAATTGTTGTCCAAAAACAGAAAAGAGTCGGAACTCTGGAATTCCACCACAGATATCCGCCCTGATCCACCCACCCTCCGTCTTCTTTCCCTTACTCTGTGCACTTTTTACGTCATTCTTGACCCACGGTGGCCCTTGGCATTCCCAAAACAGCTGGGATGTACACCAGTTTACCAAACACACTCAGACATGCATAAACACAAACATCCACAGGGGAGTGGGGGGACACTAATAAAACTTGGTCCACTGAAAGCCTGATACAATACCATCCAAAGGATTTCACCGTCTGTGCTCTGACAGAGATCCGGTGTCAATGAATGTTTAGATAACATGGCAGGGCTCTCCTTCCTTTCATTGAAACAATAAAAGGCTTAGACACAACGTCACACAGTTAAGGAATAACATGCAATGGAATGTGAAAACCAAGGTCAAAAACAGGAGGGCGTTTTTCCTCCTGCTTTGGAATGAGGTTAACTCCTGGCCAGAACACGTCACAAGCCAGGGAATCCCAGAAAGTTGAGAAAAACAGGCCAGAGGATGACTGAGTTTGTTCATTGGTTTCTACATGAAACATGTCTGGACAAGTTCTGAAAGGACAAAAACAACAGGATGCATTCAGCTCTATCTAATGACAGCAAACAAAATACAATATATAAAGGCCTGGCATTCCTTGAAGACATGTTTTTCATTCAACCTTTATTTAGACAGGTAAATCCCATTGAGCCTCGAGGACTCATTTACAAGAGAGACCTGATTTCAACAAAGAATGATGACAACAATGGACAACAGCAACAACAATAAACAGTTATAAAAAGTCATACAGATTTTTTCTTTTTTTTAACAAATAGGATGGCTAAAAACAAAGAAAAGTAACAAAAATCAGCTAGATTCTAAGGCGAATGTAGAAAACTAAAAACAGGAACATGTCTGCATTGGTCCCTGCCAGGAGTCCAACAGATTCTTAAAGCCACTTAGAGAGGTCAAGGTCGAGAGCTTCAGATCTTTTTGTAAGATATTCCAGGAAACAGGAGCAGAGTAGGAGAAGGTCCTTTTGCCTAGTTCAGTCCTCACTGAGGGAACACTGCAGGTAATAATGTCCTGAGAGCGCATGCTGTAGCTGCACTCACGCAGAGACATGTAGGAGGAGATGTATGAAGGCAGCAGACCAAGAAGTGATTTAAAGATGAAAATGTACCAGTGGGAGAGTCTACGTGAAGTTAATGATGTCCAGTTAACCAGTGAATACAGGGTGCAGTGGTGGGTACGATAATCACAGCCAGTTATGAATCTTAGTGCACCATGATAGACAGCATCCAACATCTGCAGGGTGCTTGTAGGAGCGTTCATGTAAATAATGTCACTGTAATCAATGGAGGGAAGGAAAGTCACAGATACAAGGCGTTTCCTAGCATTCAGATTTAGACAGAATCTATTTCTGAAAAAGAAACCCAGTTTAACTTTCAGTTTCTTTACCAAGTTTTCCACATGGAGCTTAAGAGAGAGATGTGAGTCGACCAAGATACCCAAATATTTATAGGAATCAACAAACTCAATCCGGACATCGTTTGAGGATAAAATCTGAGGAAAAACTGCTGGGACCAACTTCCTATTTGAAAAAAAGCATCCCTTAGGTTTTATCGGCATTTAGGACAAGTTTGAGGCGGAACAATGGATGATGTCAAATGCAGATTGCAAAAGCTGGAAAGCCTTATCAACTGTTTTAGCTCAACAATAAACAATTGTGTCATCAGCATAGAAATGTATGGATGCATCAGGGATGTTTTTACCTAATCTATGTATGTAGATTGTAAAGAGGGTGGGTCCTAACACTGAGCCTTGTGGTACAGTGTAACAGTTATCATGCACCAACTTTCATGCCAGACCTTTAGACCAAGACCATCTTAAGTTGAGAAATGACAGAGTTGTAGCCATTTTGGATGTACACCTATTTAATAGTTCCTGAAAGTTTCGTTAAAATCCATCCAGTTATAAAAATATCTGACAGTTTGCTCCAAATACTTCATGAGAATATTTTAAACAAAGATCTTGTGCAATCATTAATGCTCAAAGTATGTGTTGGAGATAAGCCTCAGCTACCAAGCCAAATTTTAGCTCAATATTTGTAAAATTGACTGGGTTATTAAAAAAGCCAAAGGAATAAATTCAATTGCTCACAGGCATTAAATCTATTTTTAAATGTTTCAAAGGGATTTAAATTTTGAAAAACTGATCCTACAAAAGTGCCAGAGAGGAGGGAGCTTTGAATTACAAGGATAAATTCTGCCAAGGAGCTATAAAACCACTTTAAGACATGTGTAGGAATTATATCTGATGAGCAAGTGGGACGTTTAACATGCTAAAAGAGTTTGTATTAACTGCAGTAAGTTTACACATAATAAACATTATTATCGTAATAGTAATAAACTCTCACAACGTCTTTTTGTATTTTATTAAGTCTACAGGAGGAACAGTAAAAGACTAAGAATAAACAAAAAACATATAACAGACGTTGTATGTTCAGAAAAAGGAGAATGGTGCAGCTTAGCTGTTACAAACAAGTATCTGTAAAATTAAAAGAACATACATCAACGCCATTCTGAGAAGTAACCACACACTGACACAGTGACTACAGTAAAAGTGGAAGCACGATGAAGAGGTGAGAGGCCAACTGAAAGCATCAGTACCACAAAGACTTTGCCTTCAGCTAAAACGGCTTTGAGATGATTATTGCACCAAACTAAACATAGGTCGTCTTCCGGCTCACTGAGAATTTGTACGAATATTAGTAACAAAGAAAATTACTTTTCATTATTTTCGAGTCAGAAACAACTGAATATATGAGGATCAGATAAATTCAATAATTCAATTAAAGACCGAGCATTACTTGAAGAAATGCTGGGTCAGAAGCTTATCGAAACACTGCCACAGTGAATGCATGCTGTAATCAAAGCTAAAGGCGGTCCAACGAAATATTAGTGTGATCTTTTTTTTGTGGCAACTTTTTTTTTTGCCAGGCAGTATATGTAAAGAAATGACAGCGTTGTAGCCATTTTCATCCAGTGTTATGCGCAGTATTCAGAGTTGCCATCCTCAGAGTACGTGTTGTGAATGACTCTCAGCTACTACCACATCAATACATGTTAAATTAAATGAGCTACAGCTATTTTTGTGATGGCAAACATTGATTAGCCGTCATATAGTCATAATGAATTAGATCGGCTCCAAAAGTTAATCAGTTACAGATTTGCACCTAATAATTTAGCAAGTTTAAGTGTTCTCACCGTTTTTGTTTTTTTTTTTGCTCATGAGAAACCAATTTAATTTCATACCCATGATCTGAAACAGGAATGACTGAAGCGTTCTCTGAGGTCTGTTTGTTTGAATACCAGCAACAATAGGAGGTGGGATCACAAGGACCAAGAATCCTGTGTTGTGACTTTGCATTTATTCTCAAGGGATAATGCAACAGCATCTGAGCTTGTTTAAACGTTTATGATGTTTCGTACAAAGAACCTTCATCGTTGGAATGCCTTTGCACAGCAGCCAGCGTTTTGTCCCGACACCGCCTGCGTCGGATGGCCTTAGGAGACTTTTTCACACCGTATACAGAGCTGTACATCTGCAGCTACACTGGACTGTCTGCAGCCTGAACATGTTGAGAACAGCTCAAAGCACAACAGAAGCACTTCTAAACTGTTCCGACAGTAAATGCTCCATTAATTCGTAAATCTCATTTTCAGTCAACCACTGATACGTCCGACTGCGTCGTAGTGGTGAAAGGTAAAATCTATTTTTGATGCACTGCAAACACGGAAGATTCTGAATTGATTTTCAAATGTCAAAAATCTATTTTGTTAATGTGATGACACTTAAGAACGTCAACAGTGTAATTCTTGCACTAGGCTCTTTGTCCGAGTTATTTTAGGTTCCTACAGTTGAAACGTTTAAGTAAAATGAGCGTTTTCACCGTTTTTTATCGTTTCTTCACAGAACGCTGAAAAATATGACTGTAAATAATGAACAAAGTTATGGAAACTGTATCTTTGGTAATTAAACACATTTAATTTGTGTATGCATTTCCAGAGATAAGCACAACATTTAAAATTTAGGAAAGCTATAGTAGCGTCCATGCTAATTGTTGGTCAGCAGCCTGTGATCATTAGGTTTATTTGACATGTGCACTTTATATTAGGCAGAAAAATATAACTTTGTGTTTATTTATGCAAAATAAACTTTAGGCATTTATGTTTCCAGGTACCAGTAATCCAAATGCATAATTGTTTTTAATTACATCATAGTTCTCTCAATCAGAATCAAAGAAAATCATGAGGAGGCTGAAGATTCTCACTTCTAATGTGTGGATTCACAAACTTCGGTAAAATGAAAAACTATTTGTCGTCATGTCCTTGGAAACTGGGTTTGTGTTTTCTAGACTGGCAGTTCTATCTTCTTATGTTCATTATAAAGTAATGAAAACATATTAGCTTGTCATATACCTGTTTAATCATGAGAATAAATAAACTGATCTTCAATAATTCAACAAAAATGGGGTTCTTGCTAGTTCTTGTTACAATCATCTGGGACGTTCTAAGGAGGAACTGGAAAATGAACAGCCTGCGATTGGATAAAAGATGTGTTCACAACTGTCTAATATAATAAACATTAACCACTTAGATCAACGGAGCTCAACCCAAGGAACCAATGTCAAATTTTTATACATATCCCATTTAAAAACAACAAAGTTGACCAAAATGCTTCAAGCTGGATAAAAACAAATAAAGCCCTCAGTAAAAAAAATAAAAATCTGTAAAATCACATAAAATCTACAAGTAAAATAAAATAGACTAAAATAAACTAACACAAAGAAACAACATAAGAGATGTGGTGGGACTCAAACTGAAAATAAAAGCCATAAAAAAGTGAGTTTTCAGTCGGGATTTGAAAGATTGTAGCGACTCTACAGTATGAATTTGGAGGGGCAGGTTGTTCCTGAGCCTGGGGGCTGCCACTGCAGACGCCCGATCGCCTTCGAGTTTTAATTTAGCCCTTAGCTGCAATTTCTTTATACAAAAACAACAAAACTATTCTGCAAATTTAATAAAGAAAGTCTCATCAATGATCATTGTAAACAGATTTTAACTATTAAAAGTTTCTGGATTTTTTTGTGTGTTTTTAAAAATGGCCTCAAATACTTCATCTGGACAATACTGCAGATAATTAGATGATGATGGCACACATTTTTAAATACCGGCTTTCTGTGGCAAACTTTAGATAAAGTCATGAGTTTACACAAATAAACGGACTGTGTACCTTCTTTTAATATTTTATTATTGAACTAATAAAAAGTCCCGTTTGTTTATTGCAGAGCACCACACTGTTGTAATTTCTCTGAGGTTTATAACATGCCAATATAAAACTGTTCATCAACAAGGGAGAAAAACCTTTCACTGAACAGGATTTACCTGACAGACACACTGTCGTTATGTTATTAGGTAGTCAGAGCCCTGCAGAGTCAGATTAATGATTTACCTGTAGGAGGTCATCGCTGAGGACTTCTGTCTTCTCCGCTCTGCGGATGAGAAAAAACAGAGCGCACAGATTAGCACCACTATAAACAACTCCTGTATATATATCACAATACTCATTAATGACTGGTTTCCATGTTTAGCCTGAAATTATAAACTGGCTCCTGTGGTAATATTTGAGGACTGGGTTACGTTCAAGCAAAATATCCCAGCTGGATGTATATTAGACCCCTATATGCCTTTTTTTTATATAATTTTGCAAAAACGTTCAAATATGAAAATGAAAATACTAAATTATAAGCTTTTTTTGAAATCTTGTTGGGCTTAAAATAGTACAGAAGAAGTGTTTTAAAGGTTAATTTGACAAAACTTGTTTTCATGAAGCAGCTGGTTGGGCTTGTGTACCCCCGGCGTCCAAGCAGCCCAGCGATGAGCCTATTAATAGAACAGTAACAGTCGAACTTGAAGGGGTCAGTCAGATTAGATTCACTTTAAAGCAGAAGGCTGGGAAACACCAGCTCAGACAGATTAATCACAACCACAAACGCTGAGACGTCAGTCTTGGGGTCTTTTATATTTTTATATGAAAAATGTCACAAAATAGCACCCCCACATTGATGCATATGTGCTACATGCAAACTTTTTGTTCAGAGAATTTAAATTAAGCTGTAAAGTCTAATATGTAAGATGTAGAGCAAACTAGAGCTTCTAAAAATAGTCGGCATAACTGAAGATGTCCATCCATCCATCCATCATCTTTACCCGCTTCTTCCTTTTGGGGTCGCGGGGGTCACTGGTACCCATGTCCAGCTATCACTGTGCAAGAGGCGGGGGACACCTGGACAGGTCACAAGTCCATCCATCATAGGGACAGAAACAAACGAGACAAACAACCATTCACTCTCTCACTCACACCTAGGGACAATTTAATTACCAGTCAGCCAAACGTGCAGAATTAGCTGACATCAATATATTTAGCTGACACAAATTTTGTGAATTTAGCCTTTAATTTCTTAAATGTTTTAATTAACCTTTTTTTTTCCACAGATGTGCTGCGCACACCTGTTGAGTGTTTATACGCTGCTTTATGTTGGTTCTGTCTGATCCACAGTTTCAAAATGAGCTACGTAAAAAATAAATAAAAAGGCTATTAAACGACTGAAAAGGTCTAAAATATGAGAACTTCAAGCTACCTGACAAACCAGTCAGGTTGTAAGGAAGAACAAAACAACATGTGTTTTTTTCTTTTCTAAATGGACTCTTATGAACATCAACGTTCATGTTCAATAATACAGGTTAAAAAAAAATCCAGCAAAGTTCAGTCAGGTCATCTGGGCGTTTTTTTTTTTTTTGTTGTTGAGACTTTTCATCCTTCATCCGAAGAACTTCATCAATCAGAGGAGCCACAACAAACTGAGTCCCACAAGCAGCACACTCCCACAGTGGAACCAACCAGTTTGCTGGTGATGAGATGGTTTCCAACCAACTCTATGAAGTTCAGAGCTTGTCTGTCTGCTTCATTTTCCTGTGAATGAATGTGTAAGGAGGACCGGTTTAAACTGGAACCCAGAGCCTGTGTTTGATTAACACTGAACCAGACCAGTGTTGTAGTGAGTTTTGTTCCCCCATTGAGATTCAACTCCTCCAGCAGCTTTACTTTATTTTGTGCCTGTCTACATCTATCTTGTTTTGAGTGATGGTATTTTAAGTAAAATGTAAAAACAAAACATCATGATCTCTTTTTGTCCCTTTTTTGGTCAGATGTAGCAGAGGAAACCGCTCATTTGTGTGGATAGTGTCAATAATTATGAGAATTACGTTGACATCTTACAAACTTATTTATAATATAATTAATAAATTCAACTCGTAGGTATGATATGAAAACCACTGGTTAAGTTTAAAGAACATCTGGCAGGGTTAGTCTCCATTATGTAAATAGTTTAGTTGCATTTGTTTTTCTCCAGTTCCTGACAGACGAAGCCGTGTGACTGAATTACAACAAATAAAGGATTTATCTCCGTTTTGCCACAGTTTTTGCCAAATATATTCCTACAACATGCTGACCATTGAGGGTTTTTAATCTGTCGTGCTGGAACTGAGAAGTTAAACCTATATTTTGTGTATACTCCATATGCGTCATTGTACACATTTTATTTTGTGGAATATTGTAAACACCTAAGTTAAATTGGAAAAAAAATGAAACTGTTCATTTTGACTTTGAGGAAAATTAGTAGGGTCGTTGAATGAATGACTTAAAAACTAGTCAATGGAATAAATGAAATAAAAATTGGCTAGAGGCAGCTCTAGAGCTAAAACACTGGCGTCTCTTTTACCCTGTTTGCTCTTTGTCTCTGAGTCATGTGAGTATTGCCAAACTTTCTGTTTCTGTATTGAGGACTGTGCAGGTATTGCTGTGCCTCACTCATGTGCAACCTTTTCCAAACCAAAGTCAAATGGGCTGAATGAGTCGCCTGCCTTCATTTTGGGAAGCACAGCTCTAAATGAAGGCTGAGCCCTCCTCCAGAAACATCCCTCTATGAACCATAGTAACCCCCTCACAGCTGCTTTCAATTACAACACAGAGGCACGGAGAGAAAGAGGAAGACTGATAGAGAGGGCTCCATAATTTCAGTCAGACAAAAAGACATGCAAGCATGTGATTTTCTCAGGAGTCCCAAAAGTGCCAAACCAGAATAAACTAGAAACTTGTGTATAACGGGAAACTTTCTCTGAAGGCCATAGCCAGGCTGATGAGGCTGCATCCTCTAAACACACAAGAACCTACAGACGAGACCTCCTGAAGGCTGTGGAGAACATCCAAGCCACACACAACACACTCCAAGTGTCATTTTAAAGCCACAGCAAAGAATCTATGTTTTGGTGTAGACTACATGCTCAAGAGCTCTTAAAGTGGCGATCATAAATCCAGAGCATTCATCATGTAGACTCGTTCTTTCATAAATGCTATTTTTGTGGTAATTTAGTTGAATAAATTAAGACTTTCTGAACACGTCGAGTCAACAAGCAAACAAAGGTAGTGATGGTGTTGGCAAGTTAAAAAAAAAATATGTAAATTGGACAGAATAGTGGTAAAAATATATAATTTATAGAAAAACTGTGGAGCCAGCAAAAATGATTAGATGCTGCTTTATGGAACCAAATTCAAAGAGCTGTTCTGTAGTCCGTAAAAAAAAAAAAGCTTTACACATGCTAATGAAACACACAAGCTGGCATAATGTTCTCCTCATGATCTCAGTGGATCTTGACTAAATCAAAATGAAAACGCCAAACAAAACCAGACGAAACTGCCAATATGCCAAGAATGTTACCAAAGTTGAACTGGTAGCACTTCTTGGGTTTCTTTTACAGGTTTTAACAGCAACTAGGACATGCTTAAATGCTGCTCCGACCTAGCTGGACTAAACTATCCGTAAGCATGTGAAGACGTTCAGATATCACGCAGCACTTCTGCACCCAGCTTCGAACCAGAGTGCCATACATGCTTTCTGCTCTGTGTAGGATTATATACAGCAGTTCTGCTAGCATCAACTGATCTTGGACAAACACAGTTGACCTCCACTGAAGCAGCAGCCTTTAGAGAAACACTGTCACTTTGCACCACATGCGATTTCTTAACAACAAAAGATTCTCGCTGCACGGCGGTGGTCACAAGTTCAAAATGGTTGCCATGACAATCCACACTAAAGCGAGTAAGTTGAAGCAATGAGCACAATAGAGAGGCTGTTACTATTTGGCACAATCAGCGGTCAAGAGGAAGGTGTGACTCTTACTGCCACAACGGTGACAGCTTAAGGTAGAAAGTAATGGATCCTGGTTACAGATGAAAGAAACAGGAGGAATAACCAAGTGACTCAGCTCACACATTCTCTAATGAGGTTGACTACGTGGGCTGCTAGCCTAACGTTAGCCGTAAAGTGATGACTTTAAATCTGAGGGATTTCTGCGCTTTAATACAAATTCAGAAAAGCTAATCTGTGCATCCTGAACAAACGGGATGTTTCCTTCCCGTTTGGTCTCAGCTTAATTTTAATCCTTTTCATCCCTAAAAAGACAAGTACAGTAGTCCCTCGCTACTTCGCGGTTCGTTTATTGGACTCGCTCGCTCTATCACGGTTTTTCAAAATAAGATTGGACATGGCACACAATGGGTTGATTGATGGATTAGCCGCACGATCGGCATGACATTTTTATTTAAAAGAAATTATTTAGCACCTCCTGCACCTTTGTGCAGCACACACTGCAGGATAAACCCTGCTGCAGCTGATTGGCTGTTCACCGTGCAGAGCAGAGAAGTGGGCGTGGCCAAGAGCAATTACAGGTGGCAAAGAGCAGAGGAGGCAGGGAGCTGACATCATGACATTCTGTGCTCTTCGAGCGTTTAGAAACATTGTTTAGAATACAAACATTTTTCAGTCAGGTCATCTGGACAGTTTCTCTTTTTGTGCTGAAACGTTTCACCTTCGATCCAGAAGGCTTCATCAGTCAAGGAAACGCACAACAAAACTGGTTTGTTCCACTTTGGAGTAAGCTGTTGGGGGAAGAATCAGTTTTGTGTTATGCGTTTCTTTGACTGATGAAGCCTTCTGGATCGAAGGTAAAACGTTTCAGCACAAAAAAAGCAACTGTCCAGATGACCTGACTGAAAAAAGTTGGATTGTATGCCTGGATTATTGAGCATGGACTTTGTTATTGTTTAAAATATTGCAAGTAGGGGTGCAGAATTTTGTTTGATTTATTAAAGAATCTAAATTCTTAGTCCTGGCAATACTGAATCGATTCTAAAGGCCCATAAATTGATTTTAAAATTCATTTAAGTTCCCCCCCCCATCCCAGCCCCACTCCCGAGCATACTGCATATTGCATTACGTGTCCGCTCAGCCATCGTAGAATTGAGCCGTGTAGGCCACCGTACAGCAAGCTAGTTATCCAGCTCCCTTTATCTGAATGGAGCCTGCTAGCATAGAGGAGGGGGACAGCGCGATTCAACCCGCTGCTTTGTCTTTAAAAATCATTTCAGATCCTA